TGTCAGGCACTAAAGGATAATGTTGTTGCTGCTGTTGATATGGAGGTTGTTGATATGACTGTTGTTGAAATGCAGGTTGTCTAGTAGATGAGCTAACACCTTGTTTCCACCCAAAATTATGATTCTGATTCCTTCTCCATCCTTGTGCAACATTTTTCTGATAATTGTTGGGATTAGGGAAATTACCTTGCCTGTCTTGACTACTACCTTGAGCACCCATATAATTAACTTCTTCTTGTTGAATGTTACCTCGATAAGAACATTGTTCATTTGCATGATCACCTCCACACACATCACAACTCATCTGTTGATTAAGAATAGATTGTACTGTGTGCATTTGTTGAGGTAATTTCTCTATTTTCTAGTTCATTGCTTCAATTTGTTGTATTATAAGTTTATTCTGGGCTAAGATAACATCTGAGCTGTTAAGTTCAAGAACTCACTTCCTTTGAATTGGATGTCTATCATGTTGGGCCTGTTGGTCTGTAAAGGCTAGTGCATCAATAATTCTGGTGGCATGATCAATTTTTACATCCAACATAGATCCTCCTGCTGCAGCCTCTAATAGCATCTTTGCATCATGTCGCAAGCCAGTATAGAAAATATTTAACTAAGAAACATCATCAAATCCATGATTTGAGCAACTTCTCAACAGTGATTTAAATTTCTCTCATGCTTCACAAAATTGCTCATCTGCTCCTTGTCTGAAAGAAGTGATGTTAGATTTTGTTTTGATGTAGCGGGATGGTGTGAAAAATTTGTTCAGAAACTTCTCTTCTACACTACTCCAATTAGTCAAACTCTTATTAGGATGTGCTTTCAGCCACTCCTTTGCCCTACCTGTCAAAGAAAAAGGAAATAATCTCAAATATGCAGATTTAAGATTTGTTGCTTTAAATCCCATGATACCAATCAACTCATAAAAAGTAGACAAATGACTATAAAGGTCTTCATGATCAAATCCAGTGAATTGATGAACACTAATCAAGCTTAAAAAAGCTGGATTCATCTGCAATATATGATCATCCAGAATGACAATGCTGAAAAAATGTCTTGGACTTTGCTGCATAGCACAATTTCTAAGAGTTCTTCTAGGTGAATTTGCATTTGGATTTTGATTTGGATTTGGATTTGGATTTGGATTCAGATTTGGATTTGGATTCAGATTTGCTCCGTCTTCTGCCATATCTTCTATAATTGGGTTTGGTAAATCAAGTGTGAAAGAAGAATTAGCAGATTCTCTGGTGGCTTGTTCTTGAGTTTCTCTTCTTCTTCTACCCTGGTTCCTCCAAGCTATTTTTTCAATCTCTGGATTAAATTCTAACTGCTCTGAAGATAGTTGTCCTCTTAAACGCTTAAATCAAAAGAGTAACTCAAGTAAATATTAGCACAACTAAAAACTAAATAATAATAATAATAATACTAATAATAATAATAATAAATAAAAAAACAAAAACAAAAACAGGAATAAAAATAAAATACTCAATAAGCTAAACAAATAATTCTCAAAGAACACCGTTCCCCGGCAACGGCGCCAGAAATACTTGTTGAATTATTGGCAAGCGTACCAAAATTATCAATTGCAGTATAGTATTTCAATTAAATAAAAGTCGATCCCACGAGGAACGATTGCAATGGAAATTTCCAATTATGCTTACTAAGTAGATTAAAACAGATTGGGTTTTGCAAATAAGAGTTGAATTAAAATTAAATGACAAAGAACTGTAAATTGTTGAGAAAATATCAATTAAAGGTACTTATGATTGACTTCCTTCTTTATCCCTCTTTTGTAATGGCTATGTCAATTAAGAACGTCAATTAACCTAACAATGTTGATGTCACCTACTCAAATCATCCATGTTGATTCCTCACACATGAAATTCATAAGAAAACCTAATAAATGTTGATTTCTCACACAATTAACAGATTTTCCAGCATTAGGGTTAGGGTGTTAAGCAATTGATACATTCATTCCATTCCTGACAATTAACGTAACAAATATTCTTACCGTGATCTAGGGTTCAAGATATATTTTCCAATCATACCTCAAACAATCAAGAATAAATCATTCCAAAGCATAAAGGATAAAAATAACAACATCAAAGCATAGATTAAGATATCAAAATATCACCATGATACAAAAGAGTTCAAAGGAAGTGCACCGAATCCTAAGAGAATAAAGTTAACAACTCATGTTGGCCATTACAATGCTCCAATTGATGAAGAAGTGAAGAATTAATGAAGATTAGACAAAACCCTAACAGTAGTCGTGCCTCCTCTCCTCCAAGACTGTTTGCTTTTCTCAAAACACAACTTATCTTTTTATAAGAGAATTTGGGTCGGGCCTCGCATCATTCATTCGCTTAAGCGCTCTTCTTTCTTTCAATTTTACTCCAATTATGCTCCTTACTCTTGTATCAAGGTATTCTCGAATTCATCCTATATTGGGAGAAAAATATATTAGAATTAACATAAGTTAAGTGATTTCATAACAATTCAAGGCATAATTATATTAACTTTTTACCACTTAACATTAGATACCAAAGTGATCCTGGATTGGATCATTAGAAAGCTACAAAGAAAGTCTTAAGATACTTACAAGGAACAAATAATTACATGTTTACTTATAGGAAAGCTGGTCACATTGAGGTGATTGGCTATACAGACTCAAATTTTGCTGGTCGTATGGATACACGGAAGTCTACATTTGGTTATGTGTATCTTTTAGCTGGAGGAGCGATTTCATGAAAAAGTTTGAAACAATCTATCATTACTGCATACATCATGAAATCTCAAGTTGTGGTGTGTTTTGAGGCTACAGTTCAAGCTAATTGGTTGCGAAATTTTATTTTAGGACTTTGAGTAGTCGACAACATTGTGAAGCCGTTAAAAATTTATTATGATAATTTTGCAACAGTCCTCTTTACTAAGAACGACAAGTATTCCAAAGGTGTTAAACATATGAAATTGAAATACTTTGTTGTTAAAGAAGAAGTTCAGAAACGAAAAGTGTCAATAGAACATATTAACACTGATCTTATGATTGTTGATCCTTTAACAAAGGGATTACCACCCAAGTTATTTATTGGCCATATAGTGAATATAGACATTATGTTTACTAGTGAATGTTAAATGTTAATGTTATTATTAATGCTTATGTGAGAATCTGAGATCTTTAATGTATAAGTTTCTGAAATTTGTGTTTTATTCTTTATTTATATGCATGCAAATTATGATAAAGAAAATAAATTATGTTATTATTATTGAAATGATATTATGTTTGAACCCATTATGAACTTCTCATTATAAAGTTATATTAAGAAGAAATAGATAATATAATAATACATAAAAGGGAGCATGACATATAATTCTCAACATGACTCTTGTTATAACTATATCTTTAATTATGAATAATAATAAAAGCAATTTATGTAAGGTCCTTTAATGTGCATTATATCTTAAAGTATTAAATCACGGAATTGTATGATATCACATAAGTCATGGGAGAATGTTAGAATTAATTTAATTAATTAATTCTATTATGAGATTCATATGAAATATAATAATGAACCTAAATGTAATTTAATAAAATATAAGAACTTATTAATTATTATAAAAAATTAAAATAAAATAAAAATAAAAATAAAATAAAAATTTATGGTAACCAATTTGATAGATATTGGTTAATAAAAAAGAGATTGAGTGGTCATAAGATTATTTTCACATAAAAAGAAAGAAAACAAAGAAAAGGAGATAAACTGAGAAGAAGAAAAAAAGTAAAAAAAAATAATTAAACAGATTCTCATGGATAATAAAATTCAATTTTTTTTATATGAAATCAGGTTCGAGATAAGTATGGATAATAAAATGGTAGATTCTCTTACGACTTTTACTTTTTATTTTACACTGTTCCGTCTTTTCTTGTCGCTCATCTTTCGCTTTTTCCTATCTTTGACTATTTATGTTCAACTTTCTCTTTGTTTCACCTTTTCTCGTTCACCTTCCTCAATTTTTTCTTCTAGTTTTTTTTTTTTTTTCTCACCATTCACTCTTTCACCTTCCCTATTTTTAATCAATTCCATGAAAATATTAAGTTAATTATTTATCTCTTTATGTTTTTTAAATATTAAGCATTTAAATCCTAATACTATTTTATTTGAAGTCTGTCTTTATTATATCATAATTGTTTTTTATTTTATTATTCTTATTCATTTGATTTCAAAATTTATGATAATTAAATAATTATATTTTTTAACTTTTGTAACTAATATAAGTATTATTTAAAAAAATAACCAGTGTAAAAAAATCAAAACTAATAACAAATAATTTTTATTTTTTCCTATTAAAAATATTCATTATCCACCAATCTTAACACTTTTCAAAACTATTTTATTTTTTTAATAATATTCACACATTTATTTGTAATTGCATTACATGGTGTATCTTGCTCATCATTAAATTAGTAAAACGATTTTTTAATTCTGATGGCGGTTTTTTACTGTTATTGATATTATCTTCTTTTATCTAAAATATTTTTTAAAATAAAACTATCAAACAGTTTATTTTTCTATTTTATTTTTAAAAACAATTATTTCAATTAATTTTTAAAACTAAATCAAACAAATCATAGCAGTTAGCATCCTTAAATAAAACATTCTGAATGAAAAATACTTGGTCGGATATTAATAATCCTCGTTAATATACGTAATATGTTTATTTTTATAACTAAAAAATAAGGTATATGTTAAATTCATATCTTAGCTGAGGTGAGACCATGAGCACGATGATAGAGTACGAAATAATTGTCGCCACTAAATATCTTTTGCCAAATATGTTCGTTGAATGTCTGTTGTTGATGGTTCGTGAGGCTAAAAATTGATGCTGCAACTTTATTTTTCATACCGCTAGACTTTTCCACGTACTTGATTGAGTAATTTGTCAAGTTTTGTTGCCAAACGGGCCCTCATAAATGGTGACTCATGCCCAACCCCCGTTCAGTTTTATGTTTCCACTTTTGCCTTTGATCCGTAGCCGAGGTGGTAGTTGCCCTTCATCTCACTCTCATCCACCAACACCATCCTCATTAGTAGTAACAAAAATGATTTTAGACACTTCCATTTCTTTATAAAAATAATTTTTATTTTTCTGATGATATTTTCTATTGTAAAAAAAATTATATAACAGAAACGAGGGTTGAATTGAAAGGAAGGTGGTGGATGAGGAATGTTAGGTAATGGGAAAGTGACCAAACTAACCCTGAACAGCTTTTTATGGCATAATAATAAAATAGTAGCGGTGTCCTAACATGGAACACGCGAACCACGCTCTCTCTCTGAGCATGTGGCTGGATGGTAGACACGTGTGAAAAGGAGGATTGAACCGCGAAGATGCAAATGGCATGTTTGGCGAGTATCATAGGGATTATATAACCATACCATAACCATGTCACCTTCTTACTCATCCGTCACAATATTCTCCCTATTTTTTTCTATTTATGTTTCTTTGTGTCCAATTCACACACACTCTGCCCCGCTTCACTCTCCTCACTCACTCTCACCTCACCAATAGATCCAACAAATTTTCCTTTCTCTCTCTTTTTTCCTTTCTCTCTCTCCACTTCAAACCCCACCTCTTATCCAAATATAATGGAGGAGTCAGGGGAAAATTGGCCTTCGGATTCTTATTTGGTAAAACCAACACCGTGCACGCAATATGTATAATTGTGAAGCATGAATTATGATCATATATATTTTGTCTATGACTAACTCTCTGGTGTTGGATCGTTTCTTGTTGTGCATAGGAAGTAGGCGATGACGTCGACGATTTGTGTTTTGATGACGGAGAATTTGCGAGTGAGGATGATGAGGTCGATTCCTTTTCCGAGATGAGGAAGATCCACAGAAAACAGAGGCAACAGGAACTCACGGAGAGGTTCCTTGCACTCTCAGCCACCATACCTGGCTTCGAAAAGGTTAGTTCTCACTCTATTTTATTAACCACGTTCAACTTACTTATTTTAACAAATTAGTGTACATGCATTCAAATTTGACTTCCTTATATCTTTTTAATCTTATAGTTTCTTCATTTTTTTGTATAAACCCTCTAAATCTTGTTTATGGGGAAAATATTCATTAAAATGTTTTTGTAATTTTATTTTTCAATTTTTAAAAAATGTTAGTGTGAAATGTCACATCACATAAATGTTTGCTAGTCAAAATTAATTATCGTAACAAAATTAACTGAAAGATTAATATAAGATATTTGATAGGACCAGTGGATTTTTTTTAAGTTTAAAATAAAATAAAATGTAGGTGATTGCTTGATAGATTTTTTTGGCATGGTTTAGCGTGTAAAATTCTTTGCATGTTTATGCGTGTAAATGGTTTTGTTTTTAATTTATTCCAGGTAGAAGTAAAATAAGGATGTGCATAAGTTGACGGAACTGAACTCTGTTTTCTTCCTTTAAAACCATACGAAAAAATATATTTTATTTTTATTTTCTATACATTACTAATATAGTTTTTTTTTAAACACGTGTCAATCAAAATTTTCTGGTTACACATTTTAAAATAATGTAAAACATACAAATTAATATAGAGTTTTCATCAATACATATCAAAATAACATAAATTATAATACCAACATCTTTACCGTCTAAATAGTATAAAATATTAACACTTCAGTATATTATAATTAAAAAAAATCTAGAATGTCATTGTATTAATATAATGATGGCAAGAAAAATATTTAAAGAATCAATTTTATAAAATAATAATTTGTTATAAATCTGTCCTAATGATAAAATCTTTAAAATGAGTATTTAATTAACAATAATAAATGTAAACATTTCTTGTATCTAGTTGGCTTATTCAATTTACCGGTCTGAACCATATTGTTTCTAAAAAAATACTATTTATGAAAAAAAAATTAATCAGGATTATCGTCTCTAGCTCTCAGATACTTTATTTGATTATAACATTTTTAAGGAGAATTGTTTACAAAAAATTGCATAAAGAAAAATGGTATTTTAATATGGAAAAAGTTATTTATATAAAAAAGTTCTTCAATCTCAAAAAATGCGGGAGACACATAAAATAAACTTCCATTGGAGAGATGCTTAGACAGAAGAAATAAAATAAGAAAAGGAAAAATAAGATTAAATTAGAATGAAAATTATTATATAAATGAACTGCATTTACAATTAAAATGATTTACGTTGAGATATTTTTAGTTAAAAAAAAAGTTATAAATAACTTGTTTTTCTACCCGTTTCTTATATAGTTATTACTATGTTTTATTTATTCTTTTATTCTTTTTGTTGACCTTAAGAGGCACGAATATAGTTCGTTCAATTATTTGTTGGGAAGAAAACGTGAGAGTGAAGTTATTTATCATATGATTTGTTGGGAAGGATACGGTAAGATATTTAGAGTATAGTTTAAGCAACAATAGATCATTGATGACATGAAGTCAATGTCAACAAGTCGTTAGGTCATTGTGTTTAAAATTTTCTGAGCAATTTTTGGCGACATTTGTTGAATTATTTTGTTTATCATTCCGTACATCCTTTAATTAAATCAATTACTGTTTCAGACCTTGCACCACAGCTTTTGAGATAGAATGTTTAACACTATATATATATATATATATATATATATATATATATATATATATATATATATATATATATATATATATATATATATATATATATATATATAATGAAATTCTTGTCTTTCAATCATTCTACTTATAAATTTGATTTTTCAGGTTTTAATGTAACAAATTATGTCTCCAAAATACGGTGACAGTATGTTTTAAATTTTAGATCCTTGTCAATTTACGATGTGATACATAATATCACGTCACGAGATAACATGCAAAAGTAAAATAAAGATTACTTTTTTTTTTCCTATTATTTATTTCTTTGTTTGATCTTATATCTCTATTATTAAAAAGTTTTATCAAATTCTTTGATTCAAAAAATATATAATTTTTTCGTTTTTATCAATTTTTAAGAATATAATTATGTTACATTTTCGTGTTTTAAAATTTATAAATGATGTTTTTTTAATTAAAAGTGTTAATATTTAATTTTTAATAATTTTATTATTAAATTTAAAAATTAAAACTTAAAAATAAATTGAAATTTATTAATAATAAAATTGAAAAATAAGGATAAAATATATATTCAAATGTTAAAATTGAAACACTTTAATAGATAGTGGGTAGAGAAGAAAGAAATAAAAAAATAAACATAAATATCACGAAAATAATATATAAAAACAATAATACGATAGATCCACCACTTTAGAAATTATTTTTCTCTTAACATAAAAGCAATTTAATTTCCTCCTCTCTCTCTCTTCGCCCATTTTTTTCTCAAAACAAAACAAGCCACGAATGAGTAAAGGAAAAGTGCAAATAATTATCACTACTAACATATATACTAGAAAAAGGTTAATTAAGTAAATTAATAATTACATAGGATAGTTAAAAATATATAGCATAAATATTCAACATTTAATTTGCATATTTTATTCAATAATGTTTATATTTATATCATATGTTTTCAATTAATTTTATTCTAATATATTCATATTTTTTAAAAATTAAAAAAATATATAAATTTTTATATTTATCAAATTATAGGTTATTTATAAGTATACTCCTAAATTTGAAAATGACCATTAGTAATTTATCAATAACAAATTAATACTAATAATGTATATAACTTAAATAGATCGTCAATTAATAATTTTAAAATATGAAAAACATAATAATATATTCATATACTAATAACATATATAATTATATATACATTTTTTTATTTAGTAGCAATAAATAAGTATAATTTTAGTTTCTATTTATGTTTTACATAATTAAAATTGTAAAAGATTCCTATAAAGAGTAAAATTTAAGAGTTTTTTTTATAAATAAATATTAAAAATATAAACTTAATACACTTGTAATTTAATGAATCAGATATGTATATATGAAATTTTAACTGAAAATTTAAAATAAGTTTTATCTCATCATTTGCATAATAAGTTTCTTTTTATCTTATATATACTTGTAATTAAAAATAAAATACATTATTAACCAAACAAACAAAACTTAAATTAAACAAATATTATTGAAATATTAAATTATATTAATTATAATCAAAATATAACTTTTTTTTCCTTTTCCTAATATTGGTCAACATATTTGAAAAAAATATATTTTATAATTTTTGTAATTAATTATTTTTATTTCCACTGAATTTAAAACTATAAAATAGTGTGTTTTCTATATTATGATTAATAAATAAATTTAAATTATTTGTATATTTTAACTTAATAAAAATGATAGTTTTATTTATTTTGTTTTATTTTTAAATATTAAGTATAAAGATATGAATATAAAATAGTAAACAAAGTTATTAATAAGGCTGTTAAAATGAAATAATGAATCAAAATTATAAAATAAGTACATGTCTCACGAGAATTGTGGTGTTTATATATATATATATATAAATAAAGAGATATGAATAATTCAGTTCAGAAATCTCCATTTGATGTTTCATCTTTTCTTGACTTTCTTTACTTTGTCTGTATGATGACGTACCTTGACAGTCTTTCAACCTTTTCCATTCTACTTGAGATCTATATGAGGGAGAGCAAAGTAAAAGTTATATATTGTCTATGGTAGCGTCCTATATAACCCATTTAGATCTCATTTTGTTTAATGCCTAAACTTTAGTTAATAGATAATAACTTAAAATAACCCTTCATTCACTAATACATGTCAAACCTAAAAACTATCACATTAAACATATTTTGATTAAAATTATTGTATGACCTGAATGGGTGATTATTGGATTTAGATGATCCAACAAAAGGTCATTCTTTGTTTTCACAAGTGATTAGCACATTGAAAGCTTTCCTTTGCATACAAATTAATGGGTAGATGGACAAGACTTCGATCCTGGACAAAGCGAGCAACTATGTGACACAACTTGAGCAACGTGTGAGAGAGCTGGAGCAAGAAGTTCAATCCAGCAACGTTTGTGTCACCAGCAGCAGCTCTTGCGAAGTGAACTCCAATGGCTATTACCATGGATCAAATCAAATTCTACCCGAAGTCAAAGTGAAAGTGTCACAGAAGGATGTGCTCATCATAGTTCACTGTGATAAACAAAAAGGAATCATGCTCAAAATACTGTCTGTCCTCGAAAGTATCAATCTCTCTGTAGTCAATAGCAGCGTCTTGCGATTTGGAAAGTCCAAACTCGAGATCACAATTGTTGCTCAGGTACACACAAAATCACTCATAAAATGAAATCAAGAACCTAAAGAGATCAATAATTGTCTATTAATATTGAAATATATATTATGTTGTCCTCTTCAGATTTGAAACTGTGACTTGGCATCTGTGTTATTAAGTACCAATGATGTAATAATAAAAGAATGCATTATGTACTGCAGATGGGTGAGGGATACAAGATGGGAGTGGATGAACTAGTGAAGACCCTGAGATTAGCCATCTTGACTCAGTAGGCTGAACTAGTTGTATTTGTTTGAGAAAGCTAGCAATAAAATTTCTAGTTTACTCTTTTCCACACATTCTTTTATTGAGTAAAATTCATGAATGACGCTGTTAAATATGTTCATAGTTCGCGTTTGCATGTTATTAAAAAAATTGTTGAAAATAGTGTTTGAGAATCATGTTGGCATGCCAGCTACTCTTTCTTCCTGGTGGGTGTTGTGGGATCTCGCGCGGAGATCCATCGTAGTATGCAACAATCAGTTTTTAATTCGGTGTAGATTGGATTGGCACGCATTTCTTTTTGTTACAAACCAAGTAAGTGTCTAATATATTTTATTCTCGATAGACATGGTTTAAGGTTATAGACGCAAAATTATTCTTCTTAGGAATTTTGAATGAGTACTAGATGATAAAGTAACAAATATTCTTCTCATGCAATTTTATTATTTAGTACTATTAAAAAAATTTGTTAAAGCTCATGATGGAACTAACCATATGAACTTACAAATACTCAGGAGAGGAAAAAAAAAGAGATTACAATTAATTACACAATCTTAGTAATGGAAATAATATTAGTAATTTTGATATGTCTATTAAGATATTGAATTGAGAAATATATTAAATAATTATAAGTGTGAGTTTAAATTAAAAGTATTTTTCTCCCGTGCTGTCAGGACCCAATATTATATTTATTTCCCCTCACGCTGGGCTAGGTCCCACAAAAAGCCCAGATAGAGTGGTTCGAAATCAATGCAATGGTTTTCATATTAGCAAATTGTTCAAGAGAGACAGAAGAGTGTTCATAAAAAAATGGCTTGATCTCTGTCCACGTGAGTTGGTGAAAAGCAAAATTACTGAATATGGTAAGAACTTAATTTTTAAAATATTATTGAGTCATAAATTACATTTGTTTTATTTTAATATGTCTCTTGCAAAGGTAAATCTTCCTCCAGGACAAGTAAACACAGATCACAAAAAGATAAAAAGAAATAAAGAATAGAAGGCATTGGAGTATTGTGTGATTGGATATTATGTTGTTGTCAGATTCCCTCATGAAACAGTAACATATATTGGACCAACAATGGATGTAATGACGAATCATAAACAATTATGTTGGTGACTGAGACATGAGATGAAGGTATAGTTGGCATGAGTTGGTTGTGGCCATAGCATTGCACATTATCAATACCATAATACAGAAAAAAAGTTATATATATATATATATATATATGATAGAAAGAGAAAAAATATTAATAAAGTATTTATGTATCATTACAAGTTTAATAAAATATTACTTTTCCCAAGTTGAATTTTAAAATTGTAGTGAAAAAAAAATATTACTTCTATGAAAACATTGAACATGACAATAAATACAAGACTTTAATAATAAAAAAAATACATCACTCTTTCTTTAATAGAAAACTTATATGTATTGCCAAAAATAGTTTATTCATAACTAGACATCGTAATTCATATGATTCTTGGAAACGATAATTACCATATGAAGCAATTTTTCTTCTGGCAAAAATTAATTTTCATTGATGATTTTTACTTCTTTTTTAATTCTCATGTTAAGAAAACTAGTTTACTTGAAGACATGAAGCCTTTTCAATTATAAATTTTAGAAGATAGTTTCAAGAAGGATATTTTGTCAAAAAAAGAAAAACAGAAAGAGAAGGTGCTATAAAAAAAAGTGTAAATAGGATTCCTTAGTTTTGAGACAGTTACATGCACGAATATATATATATATATATATATATATATATATATATATATATATATATATATATATATATATATATATATATATATATATATATAACAATTTCAGAAAATTTGTAATTGTGCCTCAAGGATTTTGTTTAATATTTTATAAATTTAAGTTGTTTCTCTTAAATATAATAAAAAAAATACTTTTTGAGATAAAACTTTTATTTCCTTTACATAAAATAATAAGGACATATTTTATACACTTAATTAATAAAGAATCATTGTTAGTATGATTTTTCAAATAATTATTTTAAAATAAATTAATTTATCATGCATATAAGTTCATCATTAAATAAAAATATAAATATATTTTAGATTATTAGTACATGTTCTATTTATTCCAAAATAAATATTTTATTTCAATGTGATCCTGTTAACTCTTATTCTATTCTACAATTAAAAGTGACATGACATTTTATCATCATATTTTATTTTTTTTCATTTACAAAAGAATCTTTATATCTTTTACCATGTTATTTAGTTTGGAAATTTTTATTTTCGTTGTCGAATTTGCGTATAAAAATGAACTAATATTTTCTAATAGTTGTTTTTTTCAAATTATATTTTTTTATTCACGAGACTTTATTTGAAGATGAAACATTTTCTCACTTCTATTCGGATTAATTAAGGATTATAACTTTTATGGTATCATTTATATTAACCAATGTTTTTAAAATTTATTAAATTGGTGAACACATGATTGCAAGTCTAAAGATTTAAAATGGATTTAACCAGTGCGATCGGATTTATTAAAATAATATTTTTATAATATAATAAATTTATTAATAATAATATTTTTATAAAAAAATAAAAATTATTATCATTATTATTATAAATTATAATAAAAATTATAAATATAAAATATTTTAAAAAAGTTAAAAATAAATAATTATTAAAATAAGATAAAAATATAATAAAATAATTATTAGAATGAAAAAAAAAACTACAATTTGATTTTAAATATTTTTTTATTAAAATTATTCAAAAAAATATAATTTATTTTTCTGATTTTATTATAATTTTTTTTTACTTGTTTCACTTTAATTAAAATCCGATTATTAATTAATCTATTGAACTACCTAGTCTAATCCCATTTTAAAAATGTGATGTTAAGATTTATTATATCTCCAATCAAACAATCTTTATTTTCACGTCTTAAATGGTTCTGAAAATAACTTCACATCCCAATATTTGCACTTTATGCTATTTGTTCATTATTCACAACCTTTTTTCATTTTTATTAAAACTAAAGTGTGAATTAAAGTCTAGTTGATATAAAAATGGATAAAATGAAAAATATATAAAAATAAAGCTACAAATTTTGTTTTTTTAACCCATTATCTTTCCTTAAAAATCTCCTAATATTTTTTCATGTTCTTGTTGAATATTGGCTATATTTTTAACATATCATATTCATCATTTATGTTAAATTAATTTGATTATACATTTTACTTTAGAACTTTGGAAGTGAACTTTTAGTATTAATGAATGGTGTAGCTTTACAACATAATCGAAGCAAAGAGGTGATAAACATGAAAATAAAACAAAGAACGAAAGCATTGTCCTATATATCGTTGAACAATCCCTATCATCTAATATGTTGTCCTTGCGTATATGTTTTATATTCGATATGTATGTTGTCGTGACATAGTTGAACAATCATTATCCCTGCGTAATCGGTTTGTAGACTTGGAAGAGAGTTGGGAGTCTGAGTTGAGAGTAGCGGAATGTGCAAACATGGCAGCATGTGTTGGAATTTCTGCGTTCCATAATTTTAACTTGATATTTCTGAGAGTGTGTTGAAAATTGGATCTTAATGGTGGTCTGAATGCATCGTACAGGAGGAGGAGGTGGTGGTGTGATTCTTTCTTTTTGCAGTCTGCAAAGGTGGTATCATAAGGCAGTGGTCACCCTCATGAATTGGGGGGTCCATCCCTCCAAAACCAAAATCTGCATCACAACCCTACTTCTACTGCATAGCTTGTGAAGGTGCTTTCATTGTGTACCTTCCTTCATAATACATGTTCCTTTGGAATAGTGATGCTCTCTATACTAGACATACTTTTTGTGAACTTGTTCAAACAGATATGACAATCCAAGATTTCAATCCATTAACCAAGGGGTTTTATTTTGACACCTACAATTTCATGTAGAATCATTAACATGAGTGAGTGATGGAGCAAAAAGCCTTCATAGAAGCAATAACTGTTACTATTATTATCATTATTATGATGATGATGATGAAGATGAGGATTATCTTGTTGTGAACTGAAGAAGGTACCTGCAGAGATAGTACATGCATGGTAACATGAGTTGGTTGCCACTTTAATTGGTGGTCCCTGTGAAAAAAAAAATGCATGGTTTCCATTTATTACATTCCCTCTATGCTCAACTCAGTCACACCTGTCATCAATGCTATTCTCTGTCTTATGCTACGGACACATTCAATAACCCTTTTACCATACATCTCCCATTACGATGATATTATTTATTTTGTTATATTATGATTATGTCAAATTTAATCCAAAATGAGTTAAGAACAGAAAATGTTCACAAGTTCCTCACTTTTCAAAATCTCAACCTAAATATAAGTAGTAGATAGTTATCTGCTATCATAATACATTTTAATGATGTAAAAATTATCTTAATCATATATTTGGAAGAAAAAAATGATCTTGCAGGCTTCCCAAAGAGGATCCAAACTGTAAAGGGAGATACTCCAAAATAGAAAACTGCAACGCCACGTGGATCTTTTTTCCTTTTTCTGTTATTTATGAAATGTAAAAAGCGACACGCATTCCTCCACTGTGCCCCGTCTTACGTTATGTTATGTCCAAAGTCCCAACCAGCCATGCAGCTTTTTTTTCCTGTCGCCTACTCACAGTCCTTTTCTCGATTATTAGATGCTCCATCATCCAATACCATCTCTTGTTGCATGTTATCTTGTCTTTACTACACCTTTATTACAACAATTCAATAAAAAAAAATAAAAATGGTAGATTCAAGCATTAATTCTTGAAGCACCCAGAAAAAACAGAACCACATGCCCTCATTACTTCCTCATATGATGGAGGACTCATGGCAAAACTGGCTTTCTTATTTGGTAACTTTTTTTTTTTCAGTTCATAACATGTTTGTTCAGACTTTATATGATCTTGATGGATCAATGTGTAACTTATCCGCTTTCATGTGTGTATAACTTTGGTGTTCGTCGATTAATTATTTATCTGTGTTGAAAGGGAATGAATGCGAACTGTGGCTACACCATCGGTGTACCCTTTGAAGAGATGGTATGGTTGAACAGTAGGCAGGGTTGTGATAGCCCTAACAATGAGGTAACATTTAATGGGGTAAATGAGGAACACTCAGATTGTGTAGGGAAGCATGAGGAGTTGGAGGAGAAGGGAAGGGAGAAGAGAGGAACAAAAAGGGTAAGAACCTCTTCTGAGATAGAATATCACCTAATGTCAGAGAGAAAAAGGAGACAGGATATAGCAGAGAAATTCATTACACTCTCAGCCACCATACCTGGCTTGAAGAAGGTATGTATCTATCTATGCATGTCATATTCAATCCTTATATATCCATGGTGTGTACCTTCTCTTATTTGTCATGGCATAAACTTTGATTCTTTTGGTTGATACGATGACCTGAAACCAAGTTCACATCTCCAATACCTCGTAAAGGTTATATGTTTTAATGTTTTATTCCCAGAATGAAGTTATGCATTCACTTTAAACTCTCCTACACGCTGGATCATAGAATTTACATTAACTATATATAATCTTCAATTTTCATTTTTATTTTTTTTGTAAAAAAGTTGATGCCAAATCAAATACTGAAAAGATAATATAAAACGGGATAATCTGAGAGAAACAACAAAATGTGCAATTGTTTTTTACTTTTTAAGGTACGATTTACACAAAAGAAATTAAAACGCGAGGATTATCTGTTAAATTAGTGCTCATATTTCCTTCTAGAACGTGTCTAAAAACAAATTCAAATGGACCAATTCTTCTGTCAGAAAGAAAATTTTTATTGTAAAGATATGTTTGAAAATATGTAATGATCATTACACTTTTGAAATGCAATTTTCTTGAAGTACCTCCTTTTTAATAAAGACAAAATAAAAAAACTAAAACTTATATCAGATAGATGTCAGAAAAGAGCAACTTTAATGTAAAGATATGTTTAAAAATTCTAATACTTATTACATGTTGTTTTTAAATGCAAATTATTCAACCACTTTAAAACTTAATGTTCAACTGAGTATTTTCTCATGAAAGAGTTAATATTATACATCTCTTGCGGTATATATAAAAAGGAAAAAGGAAAAGGGTAAGTTTTACGTTTTTACTTTTGAATTGGGGTAAAAATTCATGTTGTTATAATATAGAGAGACAAGGCCTCTATACTTGGGGAAGCCATAAAGTACATGCGACAACTTCAACAACGCATAGCAGTGTTGGAAAAAACGAGTAATAATAACAGTGAAAAGGCGTTAATCATCACTAAAACACAGCTTTGTTGGGCATCATGTGAAGCAAACTCTAACAGTGAAGTGGTCCCTGAAGTTGAAGCAAGAGGGTTAGAGAATGAAGTGCTGATTAGAATCTACTGTGAGAAACAAAAGGGCATCATTCTCAACTTAATGACCCTTCTAAAACATGTTCATCTGTCAGTAACCAGTAGCAGCATATTGCCATTTGGAAATTCTCTTCTCAACATCATCGTAGTTGCTCAGGTAAATAAACCATAGATTTGATTCAAAATCTTTTGTGTTGTATGATCTTAGATCTATTATATCATAATTTGAAACTAGATATATATGCCATAATGATTATGTTGCAGATAAGTGAGAAGTACAACTTGACGGTATCTGATTTGGTTAATACGTTGAAGCAGGATCTTTTGAAGTTTTATAAGGTGTAACTCTATCGTCAAATTCTCCAATATTTGTTTATTGAATTGAAAGTTCTTATATATTGAGGATTACACTGTTTTTTTATTCATATATTTCTTCAAAATGCTACAACACCAATGCGGAAACATGAAAAGGAAGGAAGGAAAAGAAAATTATTTGAATATGTCAGAAATATATATATATATATATATATATATATATATATATATAATTGATAATAATTTTATTAAACAAATCATAATTAATAATTATTTTATACTTTATTCTCTTCACTTTTAAGAAGATAAATCATAATCTTTATTTGTATTTTTCATATGTCGATACATTTTCTTTTGTTATTCGTAAGAAATAATCATTAAAATATTCGTATGTAATATCTAAACCATAGAAGCGTATATACTGTGAATACGTAGCAAAGAACGACTCTTCTAAAATAAGAAGATACTTTCAAAAAATAAAATATGCCCACAATAATTTATTAAAAAAAACATTAAAATCTACGGTAAAATTAAATATAAAATAAATTATAATTTTAATGGTTCCATTTAAGTTCTTGCGTCTAAAATTGTTATATCAATTTAAGTTCTTTTAACCGATATATATATAAATTATTATTAATTTTAATTTATTAGTGATGTGAGACTTATTAATATACTAAAACATTAATAAATAAATTTTAATTGATAATGTTAATAATAATAATAATTTATATTATTATTCTGCATCTAATATATTCGTCTCTCACACCCTATAAAGGAATCAAATAGGAAGAAAAATGGTGCTAAAATACAAAAAACTAAAAGACATTACCTTGATAGCGTAAATCCTAATTAATGGTCCCTTCATTTCAAAAAAAGACGAAAGAGATTATTTGGCATGTGTTGAGGTCGGTTTCTGTTCATCTTTGAAAATGGAAACAACATAAATCTAAATAACTTTAATGCATTCTATTTCTTTTCATTTTATTTAATACTTTATTTTTTAAGTAATTAATCAAACATTACAATATCAATGAAGATATTATGTTTAAAATAATTATTATAAAACCAACATTTATCATGTATATAGGCTAGTAATTTATAACTAAATGAACTATACAAAATATTACCCAATTAGCATGTTTTAATTGAATTTTACATTTAATATTTCTAATTTTTATTTATGAAAAATTTAATTATTAGACATATATTTAGCTTTGAGTACATAAAATAAATTTGTTATTATATTATGTAATACTTAAGTAAAATGCCAGCAAAACTTCTAGCACATTCTCTTTATTGATTAGAAATTGAAAAAAATAATTATCTTTAATTTAAAACTTGAGTGTGTTATAAGATAGTCTCTCCTTCAAATTAATATAAGCAAGAAAAAATTTAACTCAAAAACTATAAGATTTTAAAAAATAAAAAATATGATTAATAATAAAAAAAAAACTCATCTTGTGTAACCCCTAAACATAATAATAATAAAAAAAAAAACACAGTTTTATAAATCGTGATGAAGTTTTGTGCATTTGAAATTTCAACTGCAGAGGGTCCAATTCCAATAAATTGTATTTGATGTTTTGTGGACGCATTAAAATCATGTTATCCCACACATGCACAAGTTGCATAATTCTGACACGCACAATTAATATATTCAGAGCCACAATTAATTTTTATCGAGTTATGCATGCATAAATTCTGCATCATCACCTACCATCCACAACTTAAGGAGTTCATTTCCTTTTTTAATTCTTTCATTTATTTTTTTTATTTAACTAAAATCATTATCCTGGAGAAGGATTCAGATAACGTGTTAGATAAAGACTGACTAGTATTTTTAATATTTTTGTCCCTATGCCAAATTCATTTGATTTTCTTAATAATTGTTTCTTTCAATTTCATGCATATTTATAGTTTTCAATCATAATTGTAATTAATTATAAAATAAGTAAATTATATATAATTATAATAATGTCTTATTATAAAGATCTTATAATCGATATGTTTTAACATTGTTCAAATTTACGCTCCATGATCGTTATATAATAAAAAGATATATCTATATTCATTACGGTGCAACCCATAAACCCTAAAAAGACAATAACAAAAGATCATGAAACATCATAAAAAAGAGCGAAAATCAAAATATAAAAATAATCTAAGTTTTGCTAAAACATAGATAAACGTATGCTATTTGTGAACTTTAAACCTTAAGTCGGTCCAAAAATGTAGACGTGAATTTGACCCGCTAAACGGGATTGAAACTTAGGTCGGTTTAACAACTAGCACAGTCGACTTTATATTATGATAATAATAATAATAATAATAATAATAATAATAATAATAATAATAATAATAATAATAAATTATAAAAACGAAAGTGAAAGCAATAATAGAAAAGAAAGATAATTATATAACGGAGACACGAGTTTCCTCCCTCGTTGGGTACCATAGAGACCATCATGAATGGTCCCACACATGAGTCATCGACGCCTCACATTTAAGATGCATGGAAAACGAGTAACATCTTGTCCCATCCCTTACCTATCGATGACTACTCCTCATTATTTTATTCCACATCTCATTCCTCATGTAACATCACACCATGGATAATTGCCTTCTTCATCGCATCGCATGGTAAACACTCACCATCATCAAATCTTCTTCCGTTTTCCACCCACTAGGAAATGGAGTTCGACGACGATTTCTTCGACAACTTTCACACCATCCACGATCACGATTTCCTCGCTGATATCATCCTCACGCCCACCGCCGCCGCCTGCTCTTCCGAGACCAAAAGCTATCACTCCGTCCACAACAACACTTCCTTCCTCCCCAACGCCTTAGACGCCGCCGTTTTGTCACCTTCCAAACGCCCTCGCTTTTCCTCTCCCAGGACTTACATTCTCTCCTTCGATAACTCAACCGTCGTACCCGCCACACCCCAACCCTCTCTCCCTTCTTCTCCCCCTTTACCCGCTGAACCTCATGGGGGCCCACGCCCCACTTCCCGGCCCAATTCCAAGAGGGCCCGAACCTCTTCTCAGACTGTCGATCACATTATGGCCGAGCGACGAAGAAGGCAGGAACTCACCGAGAGGTTCATTGCACTCTCGGCCGCCATTCCCGGCTTGAACAAGGTACTCCGATTCAACTTTGTATTCTCAAAAACGCATCTCTCTAATCAATTATTTATGCTGTCTTTTAGTCTCAATTATTATCGATTAATAAACTCTTACTTTTATTAAAATACGAGCTAATTACTTCTATAATTTCGCCAATCATGAAAGCAAAAGTGTTTTTCATAGGTCAACATATCATTGTCTGCGTAACCGACCATCAGCAATCATCTATAATGCACACTCGTTAATCTCTCTCTAATTATTGCGCTTACTAGACTTGACCAACAACAATCTTATCTGTTACGTCTTTTCACCCTGGACTGAACATTTTAACCTTCAAATTCCCTGATATTTGTTGGATTAGGTAAATGGAAAGAGAGATAAGGAAAGAACAAAAAGAAAAACGGAAAGTGATACATGGAATAATCACTACTGCAATGAAAAATAATAGAGGTACAAAGAATAAATTAGAAATAAAGTTGAAAAATAAAGAAGAACAGGGAAAGGTTGCTAATTTTCTGTATTATCAGAGAGTATGTGTGTGTTGTTATCTGTGTCGTGCAACATCACTTTCTAGGTCACCAGTTAGTGGAAACCACGTGGTAGTGTTGAAAACCACAAGAATAAAGGGAAGTTGGACTGGTTAGAGGGAAAGAATAATGGAATGATTTATAATTGTAAAGTTTCCATGTATAGACAGACAAGGCTTCTGTGCTGCGAGCAGCGATCGATTATGTGAAACAACTTCAAGGGAAGGTACAAGAGCTAGAGAATCAAAACAAAAAGAGTACAGCAGGGACAGTAATATTGTTGAACAAAACCGATGCAAATGGAAATGAAGACACCACCAACTCCACTGAAACGAACTGTAGCATACTTCCGGAGATGGAAGCAAGAGTGTTGGGGAAGGAGGTGCTCATTGAGATCCACTGTGAGAAAGAATACGGTGTTGAGCTAAAGCTATTAGACCACCTTGAAAATCTTCATCTCTGTGTCACCGGAAGCAGTGTCTTGCCATTTGGGAATTCCGCCCTCTGCATTACCATCACAGCTCAGGTATGTTATTATGCATCAATCATGTTTAGTTTCGTGTTCTAACATTGTTCCTTGCCTGAATAATTATATGTTAATCACTATATTATACTATGATTATGACATGATAGGCCTATTTGTGTGTGTTTATTGGTAAATTGTGTACCACTTTTATGATAATCATAATTGCAGATGGGTGAGGCGTACCGTATGACAGTGAATGATCTTGTGAAAAACCTTAGACAAGTGCTCTCAAAGTCACATGTGCTAAGCGACAGTGATCCGTACTAGTGTATCAAACATCGGGTTGTAGCGTATGAAATTGGAAAGTTTTATTTTTTTTATGCTCTCCATCGTTTTGGCATGTTTTCGTGTAGATCATGACATTAATAAACAAATACTATGTGTCTCAAATGAATTTATGTCCGGCGTCTAATCTGAAACCTCAAATTCTTTTCACCAAGTTGCTGAGGCGAATGTGTTATTCCCAATTCATTATAAATAAAGGAAATGTGCACAGGGACTTGACATTATGTGCAACCATATCCCCGTTCCGCATTTTTGCTTTTTAATTTTTATTTCTAGTTATTGATTTTTTTTTCTTTTTAATTGTTAATTTTCTTAGAAAAAAATATTTCTATATATATTTATTAAAAAATAACAAATTATTGTGAGTGTTTAATGGTAAAGTGATAAAGATATTGTTAAAATTATTAATATTATTATGAAACCCTATGAAAAATTATAGAAGACATTAATTATTATTGTCTTAATTTTGTTCTCAAAAAATAGAAAATAAATAATATTAACTGAATGTTAAAATAATAAATAATAAAATAAAATATTAATTGTTTTTCTTAATTTATATGCAAATGACGATAATTACAAGTTAAAATCACTACCATGTCCTATTTCAAAGATTTATAAACAGATACACTCCCAACATATTGGCTTTTTTTCTTTTTCTTTTTTTATTCAGCAGATAATTAATTTTATCCAAATTCATACACCTCTTTATCTGTCTCTCTTAAATCATAAGGTTTAAGAATTCTTGATAGACTATTTTTAATACCTCGTCAGTAAGAAAGAGTTCTCTACTTTATGAAAGTTATAAACTAGTGGTTCAACAATCAACATCTATATATCACCACTTACAGCAATGAACTCTGATAGGGTTCAGAATAACCACAAATATGCATTTATCTTTTTTCAAAATAACCATGGATAGAACCATTCATTGCATACAATAATATTTCAACTTAATTAATTGCATATAGTGCTACAGGGTGAAAAGGGAGGTTCACAAAGTTGACTTATTTTTCCTTTTACTAAAAAATACACATCATTCATTTTTTTCTTCTTTTAAGAATCGACCATATTCTCTAGTTAATTTATTTTTTCTAATGTGTTAATTTCGGTTGAAATTAAGGAATAACAAAATGATACTTTTAGCTCAAATACATAGATGACAATTGATTGGCTAGGAATTCTAAATGACACATACAGGTGAAGTGGAGGAAAATACGATAATATATACTTTATTATTTATATTAAGATACTTTTATTATTATTTAGAATAAAAGAAAACTATATTATATTATTATTTTAATTTAAGGACTTAAATTTAGATATTATTAATATTTAATATTTTATTATATTTTTATTATATATACATTGAATATATGTGAATAAAATAAAAATGAAGTGAGAAGTTCATCATATCATCATGCATATACAAAACAATAGTTTACATTTGATGCATAGGAAAAGGACAAACACAAAAACGTGTTTTTAATAGGAAAAAGTTAAGAACAATACAAATTTTATGCGTATCCAATAACATTATTACTGAATTAAAAATAAAGAAACCTTCAAGAAAGAAACCTGTGAAGAAAATAGGACCTGAGAGATTAATTATATGTCCTCTCAACTAAATTTGTGTTTAGTTATATATAATCAATATATGTCAACATTTCAAAACATTAATAAGAGTTTAATTTGATAGCCGATTAGATTATAATTGTTTATGTTACCGATTAATTTAAAAATAACGTAAATATGACTTTTATATCAGTTATATGATTAGGGTGAATTCTCAAGTTGTCAAATATGATTTTTATATTATATCAGTTATAAAATGGTTAGAGACAATATAAAAAATATTGTCCATTTTAAAATTTTAGGGTTTGTCTTAAAAAATAGATAAATTAAGAAAAAAAATACATATAAATTATTATTAATCTTAAAACATTTATAAAATCAACTTTATTTTGTCTTAAAAATATATTATAAACAAATAATGTTGTTAGTGAATATTGGTGATTTGGGTAATTTAAAAAAAATATATATGAGAAAATGTAAAGCGTTACATGAATATTAACAAAAATAAAATGTTCATAATAATTTTTTTAAAACTCTGCTTAAATTTTGTGCCCACTGAATTAGCATATCTACAAGATTAGTCGCTTGTAATTAGAAAGAAATAATTTAAAACTCATATATTAATATAAAAATATTCAATATTTTTTATATTTCATGTCACTATATTTTAAAAAATAGATAAATTGTTCATGCTACTACATGGTACTTAATTATTGTGGTTGTGTGGCATTAAAATACAAAGAGATCATCATTAAAAATTTTAAATTAAAAAAAATATGCACGAAGATACTAAATATATGACAGATTTCCTTATATATTGATGTATAACATAATATATTTAATTATTTAGTTATAAAAGAATCTCTCTTCTTATAAATAAAATATTTTTATTTTTAATAGATACATTCTCATTTTAATATATTTTTATATTTTTTTTAAATTATTACTTGATTGAATTTTTTCTTAAATAAATCTTTCTTTTTTTTATTATATCTTATATTTTTGAATTTATTCTTATTTATAATTCAACTAATTAATATATATATATATATATATATATATATATATATATATATATATATATATGTAATCAGAACTTACAATAATTTATCCATAACAATAAATTTAGCTGCACAAAGACCTGAATTTGTGAAACCATCTGATTTTTATAATTAGAAGTTGTTTCAAAAAATAAGAAAACAAATGAAGTAAAAATAAAAGTTTTATAACTATTTAAAAGAATAAGAATAAAACCAACTAAATTCTTAAGTTCATATGTAAAACCAGGAATAATGAAACAAAAGAACATCATTTATGTTTTTATGCATTGAGAACGAACAAAAGATGAAATTAAAAAAAGAAACCTCATTACAAAAGGAAATATTAACTAGATCTCCAAAACTTCCAAGTCATTTTAACTAGAACCAGAATACTTTCTTTTCCTCATTCATCATCACAATATATATGCATATTATATTAACTATAATGCATGAGTAGTAGCTAGCTATTACATGGAGAGGAGAATGCCAGGTTGTTCTTTATTCCATAAATAACTTGGGAAGACATTAAGTTTACCAAACTGAGAGCAACAAACCTAGCTATCTTGCAACATGGAGCTGGATGCTCTAATGCTTAAAAGAGAAAACTGAGAGAGCATCTATATAAATATATATAATATATATTGATGGTGTCATGTATAATTTCAAAATAGGGCATGAAATCGTAACTCATTCCATTCATCAAACAGTAGTAGATTCTCCTTCAAGAATAACAAGACAGTAACCTAATTCCAGCATCAGGATCACACCACACACAGAGGTAGCTAGAACTTGCAGAATTTTCGGATCGTCAAACACCTTTGTAAATGATTCACTAGCATGTATCATTCTTGTAATTCAGATGACTGCAAGAGAACTAGTCTCAGGTTTTTCACTAGATCATTCATTGTTGCGTTGAATTTGTCACCCATCTGCGGTAATGAAAGATAATAGGCTTATAGCAGTTTGTAAAATCAATGCTCTCCAAATATGTCTAACAAATATGTTTCTAATTGGATGATCAATGTTGTCGATGGATAAGAGACAGGATGCCTTCGTACCTGAGCAATAATGCTGATGTCAAGAGTTGAACATCCAAATGGCATTACACTGTTGCTAGTCGTGGAGAGATCAAGAGTATTAAGATGGTCCAAGATTTTGATCAAAATGCCATTTTGCATCTTGCAGTGAATCCGGATGAGTACATCTTTTTGAAACACTCTTGCTTCCACTGTAGGGAGTGCTTCACTGGTTCTATAGCAGTCATCAGATTTCACTGCACCAGAAGTTGTGCCTTTGTCACTAGCAATGTCGGATCTCTGATGAACGAATGACACTGACTCTAGCTTTGTCCTCTTACATTGTTCTTCTAGCTCTCTTACTCGTTCTTTAAGTCGTTTCACATAAGTGATTGCTTCGCTAAGTATAGTGGCCTTGTCAATCTAAACTTCAGAAAACATTCAATTCTTGATATACAAATTAAATTGCATCCAAACTCTTAAATTTGGTTTTTTATTCTTTCTTTGTTTCAAATATATACTGTATATCGGTTGATACATAAATTATTGTTTGCTTTCTATTGAAATGTCCATGGTATATTGATCTAGCTCACCAAAATTGTGAACTTCAAGTTTTATATAACAAGAAATCATTTTCTATAAATTCCATGTATTGTATTGATTGACTTTTCGAACATTCAATTTTGTAACAATTTGTAGTAATAAACTAAACTAATTTTATGCAGTGTTGAAAACCATTAATGATCTTATGGCAAATCAATCCGATAGATGATTAACTAGATAGCAAGGATAATTAATTACAGAAACCAAATAATTGAAAAGGGAAAAAAAATGCATTCAGTGACACCACATTAAATTTCCATTGTAAAGTATATGATACATCAGTTACTAACCTTCTTCAAACCAGGTATGGTGGCTGAAAGTGCAATGAATCTCTCTGTCAGTTCCCGTCTCCTTTTTCTCTCAGTCATAATATGGTCATGTGTCTCTGCAGAACTTCTACCTTTTCTTGTTGTTGGGTTGGCCTTAGGTTCAATGTCATATTTTTCTGAGACCACTTTTGAGGGAAGACATGCGCCACCACTCCCTAATACTACATCCTCTTGGTACGGCTGTTTTCCTTCGTAGGTTTGGCAAGTAGCCGCAACTACGGTGGAATCATCGAAAGAAAGAATGTACGCAGTTGGAGAAGAGGCTGTGGCAGGTTTCTCAGGTGCATATTGTGATGAGAAGATGAAGCTGGAGCTGTTGCTCTTCATCACAAGGTTGCTACTCTTGTTGCTGGTGAGGGCTGTGTAACTACAACCACCGTGGTTTGATTTACTTTGAACTTTGGGAGAGTGAGTTTCGCTGTCAGAAGAGAAACCTGGCTGATGCATGATCTCCCGAAAGATTTGTCCCTCAACATCCAGTGATTCAATCTTGTGGCCTTGGTTAAAGAAATCAAAATCTTGTATTTCCTATGAAACAAATAAAAATCAGATTCAATCACCAATCAATACATAAAACTCATAATGCATATAGTTAATATCCAATTCATCTAAACAATTGTGGAATACGATATATATCTATAATTTGATGGTGCGTAAGTGGTTTGTGTTACCATATCAGAGAACCAATATTTTTGGCATGGCTCCCCCATTGAAAGTGAATGAAGGAAGAAGAAAAGAAAGTATAGGGACTAAATGGTTGCGGATTTGGTTCTAGGATAGAGAGGAGCATGGTGGATAATAAATGGAAATGAGGGCAGAAAACAAAGACTCGTTGAACATGCAACTTTTATTTCCACCGTTAGATTTCAATCAATTTCACGCGCACTGTGCCTATCATTTGGAAATCATCACGAGCCAGGACCACATGGTAGGACAGTGATGTTACCTACCATCCTTTATGCAGCATACATATGCTCATACTTCTATCCATTCAGACGCTCTGCTACACTTCAGCTAGTTAATCAGTAGATACATAATTTCTGCAGTTTTGAGTAAAATTTTTTTTTATTGTTGAGTGCATAATATTTATAATAAACTTAATCGATCACACTAGTGGACTAGTGTAAAAATATGATTATGGGAAGATTTTTTATAACCGTTATAATCCACATGGTGATATTTTTATAATAATATTATGAATTTTTTACGATAAAATAATATGAAAGTAAATTTATTTTTTATATTAATTAAATTTTAATCGACATAAAATTAAATTTCAATTGACATAAAAAGTGTATATTAAATAAAAAAATTAAATATATAAGTATATAAATATATCAAAATATATAACTATATTTGTATTTATATATTTTGTATATAAATATAATTTATTTATAAATTATTTATCGAGAAAATCGTATTAGTTTAGTGGTTGGAATATTAGTCTTCAACTCTAAGATACTGAATAATAAAAATATAATATAAAAGAAATGTAATTGTAAATAAATAAAAATCATAATAATTTAGTGGTTGATCTAATTCTAGACTTTAATGTATTAAGTTTGATCTGAATAATAAAAATATAATATAAAGAAAATATAATTATAAATAAATAAAAATCATAGTAGTAATTTAGTGGTTGTTGTAATTCTAGATTATATATCCAATCCATAAAAAAAACTTACGCAGATAAAAAGTGTTTTATGCATTATTCTCATCAATCATGTTTATCTAGAGCTTCTTTTCTGTAAACACTGCTTTGAAAATCTGTTTCATGCAATGACAATTCATACTATATACCAATTCTTTTCTTATAAATGTGTAGACACGTTTTACCTTTACCCTTTATGATTTCTGAATATGTAGTTACGGATCAAGTACTATTAAATAGTTCTGAATTTAATTACTTTGTTTACATATATATTGAAAAGGGTGGTAATATTTTATTATATTTCTCTCTTTTATTTTCTTCACCTATATCTTTCTTTCACCCATACACTCTGAACATAGATGCAACTAGAATATGTTGTCTTCTATCTTCTACCTGCATAACCTTTGGAAGGTAAATACAGTTCCGCAGATAAAATCCAGAAAATAAGCCATGGAAAGTAACTTTTACTTAAACAGTACAATTAAAGCCTGACCATAAAGTATAAAACAACTCGGGCGCAAGGGCCCGAATTTCACGGACACCAAACTATGCAAATCAAGGTGCAATCAATTACACCTGCTATGGGAACAATGATGAACAGTGATAAAGTTACTTATATATCTTTTGGTGCATGGATGAACATAACGGTGAAATGGAATGAAAAGAGTAAAGAAAAATACAAGTGAAAGATGTCATCCATAATATTTACAACAAAAAGAAAATTAAGATGAAGAGTGAAATAAAAGACAAAATGAGTGAATGTTATTATTAAATTTTGTACTCAAATAATATTTACAACTAAATTTTTTATCTTAATCTCAGAGAAATTTTCCTCACATCCATTACCTTAGAAAAGTAAGAGAAATTTTCATCATACCTCTTATTTCAAGTAAAATTGTTCGAGTTAACTTTGATATCATTGTCAAAATAAATAAAGAGATATTTAACTAAATCTTACCAAATCTGATCAATAAATAAGGATTATACTCAATTATGTAATTTTATCATATATCTTCACACCTTCTTACCTTAGAAAGGAAGATTTATTTTCATCTATGTCAAAATGGAAAAGATACTGTTGTCTTCTTCTGCTGGGATCTGCATTGCATGTTTTGTGAAACCCCACTAGAATGAACAATACAAACTGTCATTTTAGTCTTACAATTTGCAAGATTCAGTCGTGTAGTTGTCTAACTGAATCTTAGGTCTCATGTTAGAAACGGAGAAACCCAATTAGATCTTTCAGACCTAATTTATAAGAAAAAATTTGTCCCTGGATTATATATTATATAATTCGATGGAATATTTAATCCACGTGAGATCGGAAACGTACATGTAGAAGTAGTGTCCACTATATTTCCACTTTCCTTGCAAACTCGGATGTGAACACAAGCATAACATTGGATCATGAAAAGAAAATCTCGAAACTTTTTGGAGTCCAACATTCACTGTTGCCAAACTGCATCACAATTTACACCTGTCCAATGAAAAAGTTATTAAAGCATCCAAGTTTTGTCGTCTTCTTACGCTGGAGGAGGTTCGTCCCGTCCTTTTCAGATTCTCGTTTGTCTTTTACGGAACATGGTATAAATCCAAGCATCCACTCGCGTAAATTCCTTATTCTTTATTCGCGTAATTCTTTATTCTTGGATGTTTTTTTGAGCAAGAAATTGTTGTTGTCGTGTAACTGTAACTATTATAACACATATTCAGTAACCAGTTACCGTTTATGAATTAATTGAGAATACAGTGATTTGGGTCTTACCAAAATAGAGTTTATGATCAGTTTGAACAATGAGCTTTAAGCTAGAGCTTCCAAAGGGGCTTGATTTCTTGAATCAGCATTTTCTTTTGAGCCTTAAAAAGGGCATCTGAAGCGAAAAGTAGTGATAAACAGAGGAGCATGCTGAAAGTTTACTTTTGTTTACTGTGTACAAATACTGGTGCATGGGCTCCTCATACCAGTCTCTTGTTTCCTGAAAACTCACTACCAAAATTAGCAAGGTAGAAGAAAAGTTGATGACAATGGACAGTGTTTGCTGTTTTTCATCAACACTTGATCTTCATTTCTTGTATTTCTTATGTGATAATGATCATGGTTTTAGAATCTTGTCGGGCATGGTGGGTAGCATGAATCAGTGTTGAGTGTAAATTTATCTCATCTGATTAATTCAGATAAATACTCCATCTTTTAGAATGAGATAATGAAAAAGTGAAAGAAAAATTAATTAGGTAAAAGATAGTGACAAGAGAGAAAATTAATAAGACGTTCCTAAATAGGAAAATGTTCTATGTTTAGGGTTCTAGTAAATGAATTTTTTTGAAAAGTATAATCCAATTGTATATATATTTTTAAGCGATTTCAAGGTTTAAATTTTTAAAAGGAATGCACAATTTAAAAAAAAACGTAAAAATAATAAAAAATTAAAAGTTGATGAGGTCTAGAAAAATATAAGTATTGTTTTAATCATATCTTGAGTTGTGCAGTTCTAAATTAGTGAGTCCCATATTAGGACCATAAAACCACATGCATGGTCGCACTCACTCACATAAAAAGAACTCAAATAGCAACCACACGATAGGTTGGGCTTGGGCTTAGGTTACTTTTAGAAGAAGGATAACTGGCCTATTGGTTTGGGTCTTTTTATTAGAATAACCACTTTTCAAATATAGGGGTACCAAACCAATAATACACACTACATTTTATATATATATATATATATATATATATATATATATATATATATATATATATATATATATAAATTACGAAATTCTTTAATTTCAAAAGTTATACAAAACTTATAGTAGATAGCATAGCCAGTGAATTTATATAAATTACTGAATTTATTAAATGTTGGTTATTATATAATTATTTTTTTAACTTTTTTTTTTTGGTTTAGATTTTTCAAAAGAATTATACAATTTCAATCAAATTAATCCAATTAAGAAATTTTCAGTTTGGTTTAATCAATAGATATGTAAATATACACATAATCTTGCAGTGAAAAGGGTAATAAAATATTTTTTTTCTGATTTACTAACATTTTAAATAATGACAAGAATTGAAAACAAAAAAAAACACATTATTGATTTGGTTTGAACTCAGCAATTTTAATATTCAAATTAATAATCATTAGGTTTGATTGATTTGTATTTAATTCGATTAGATTAAAAATTTTGAATAGTTTAATTGATTTGGTTTGCATTCTTGATTTGATTAGATTTATCTAAACGATTTAGCACTCCTAATATTCATGATAAGATGTAATTTTTTTCTTTTAGTTAAAATGGTTTTAGTTTCTTTCTACACTTTAAAAAGGGTGATTTTAGACATAGCATTTGCGAAGAAGAATATTTTCACATCAGAAAAAAACATTCATTTTATAACTTTGTTTATTAATATTATATTTATAAAGTGATTAATTTAAAATAAAGTTAACTAAAAATTATTATTTTATTAATAAATTGTTGATGTTGGATTTTTAATTTTTTTCTCAAAATGGTTAAAAATCTTATTTTATTGGGTAATAATTAAGGAATAAAAAGTGGTTTTTACGTGATGAAGAAACTCATAAAACACATGTTATGAAATGAGAATGGCATAAATGATTACATCATAGGGTTTTATTGAGATAAAGTGAGAAAAGTTTCCATTAAAGGACAGAAAAAGAGAGTGAGATCCTTTCCTTAGACCACGACCACCAATCATCTTTGGGTTTGGAAGAACTCAACTCTTTCCCATTCACACACTCTCTTTCTCTCTCTCTGAGCTTGTGAAAGCCATTTTGATGAAAAAGGACACGTGGATGTGGAAGAATATTCAAAAGGAGCACTGGAAATTGACCCCAAAGATCTAATACACAAAAAGGTTGCATTGTTTGGGCAAAGGCTGGGAATTCCTACAGAGCCATGAAAGTTGCAAGAAAGAGATAGTAGAAGCTTACACCAATTTGCATTGCACTGAAGTACGAAAATGATAAAGATATCATTGAAACACACTTTCTTTGTCTCTTGTTCTTGGGATTGTGTAAGCTTCTTTCTCTCTCTTTCTTTTGCAAAATCCGAAGGCACTGTTACTCGTCACTCCATGCACATGCAATGCAAGCAAGGCCAAATCTCTTGGTCCAAAGAATGAGCACAGTGCAGAACACTAAAAACTTGGCGTGCTTCGTCCTCTAGTTCTTTAGTCTCTTGAAAACCCACCTTCACTTTCTCCAATTACGTTTGCACACACGCCCATGCTCTCTCTCTCTCTCTCTGCTTGTGCTCTATTCACCAACATTCTTTCCATTTCACAGAGAATGTTTACTCAAACTCTCTATCTTAACTTCACTCATTTCTTTATTTCTATTTGCCTTTTTTATTCTTTCAAAATATATAATGAAGAGGGACTAATAATCACTACCACTTCCAAAAATTATACATCTTCCATTCACAGTTTGGTTTAGTTTTTTTAGGGAAGAAAAAACTGGAAAAGACGCGATGAATGAGGCCTGCATAATTTTTGTAATCAGTTGAAAGATTGAAAGGAAGGGTAAGAGAAAAGATGATGTAATCAAATAAAATACTACTTTTTCCTTTGTATTTTTTATCATGCGTGTTTTACATTATAATTATATAACTAAAAAAGGGAATTTTTTTTTTGAAAAAGGGCACATAATCTATCAATTTTTGCATAACAATACTACCATATACATGAGTAGAGTAGGTCACTAGCTAGCAAAGTGGTACCATGGGAAATGTATAAAAATGTGTTTGTGCGTGCGTGAGACCGAGAGAGTTGAGTTGTGTCGATTCTTTTGCATAGATTGTTGAAAAAGGCTCATTTTTAAAGAGATTGACTTCTGATTGAGGATTCAACTAAAGGACAAATTAGGGTGAGGGAAATAGTCACCAAAAATTGTTTAAACTAAGGGTTTGCACTATGTGGATTGTAGATCGAACCCAAAGATTATACTATAAGGGAATCAGTATTCATTCAAGAAATTTATCCTTCACCAACCCACACTTCGTTGTTTTGCATGCATTTCTGCTTACCATTTCAAGCTCGGTTTCCAAGTTTCCGCACGTGAAGTTGACGAGGGCATTTATGCAGAAAATAAAAAATAAAAAGAAATAAATTTTGCAAACTTAGAAATTGGATTGGTATTGTAAACAGCAAAGGAAGGGCACGATGAATGGTAATATGAAATGTGGGTGCATTAATTGTTTGCAATGTTGCATCTGGTTCTTCCCGTCTATTCCATCACCTATGCATAATTGCTTCTTGACCTTTGAAAGACATCGGTGATGACATCATCCAGAGATCATAATGCAAAATCTGATCATCATCATCATCAATATCATCTTCTTTTGCGTGGTGCATGCTGTTTATGAATATGTTTCTGTAAAGTCATTATACAATCAGAATTCTTTATTCATTTAGTTTGGTGCATAATTATGAGAAAGAGTGATGAAAACGGTACGAGAAAAGGAATAATTATGAGAGAGTTTGAAGTTTGAAGCTGTGTTGATGAGGTGGTTTTGGTTTCACCTGTGGTTATTTGGGTGTATCTGCCCGATGCATGGGTGAAGTGATGAAAAGAAAAGGATTTGTACAGTCAATCATATTTTGCAATTTTGCAGTCAAACAATCTTTTCCTTGACAACACTGTGACGCTCAACTCATCTCATGGAATCAGATATTAATATTATCCCTTGCTCTCTCCCAATGTCGTTTAGTTTCATGCTTTCTACCTCTCCATCTAATGTAAAACACAAGACAAACGAATCATGTGAAAATCAACCTTAGAGAATCATCGTGTCTGTAATTACTAATTACACAGGGAAAAGCTTCATTTTTAAAACTAGTAAAAACAAAGAAAGTGAAGTATAAAGAAGGGGAGAAGGGGCCCTTGCTACATTAGGTGTGTTGTGTTAAGAGACCTTCTGAAAGGGTGTATCCCTACAACCTACGGCCTACAGCCAGCCTAGGAAAGACAAACATGTAGATACGAGGGATTACAGTCTTTTCAAATTTCACACCAATATCTACACACACACCTACATTTTTCCTTTTTTCTTTTTTGTTAAATAAATAATAATACTATTTTAATTATTTTCAAACAAATTTTCTTCTGTATAAATACCTCCTTCTCTTTTTTGTAGGGGCCACGACACCACCTTCGATCGAAAAAGTCCAACTTTACACACTTATGACGATGAACGGTGAAATCTTCTTACACGCGCCCACCACCACAACCGCTAACTTTTTGCTTCCCAAACCCGAAACGGCGTCGTCTCAGTCGCTGGACCCGTCGCTACGCTACGAAACGGCGCTCGAAGGGATCGCAGCGGTTGTTGGAGAACACGTTCTGTTTGGGACGACGTCGTCGTCGACGTCGTTGCATGATTCGGAGACGCCTAAGAAAACAGGTGGTGTGTCGGTGAACAAGAGCTACCGAGGAGTGAGAAAGAGACCGTGGGGGAGGTGGTCGGCGGAGATACGCGACAGGATCGGGCGGTGCCGCCACTGGCTAGGGACCTTTGACACGGCGGAGGAAGCGGCGCGTGCGTACGACGCGGCGGCGAGGCGACTCAGAGGCGCGAAGGCGAGGACCAACTTCAAGATACCCTCGGTGTTGCCACTTTCTCCGTCGTCTTCGGAAGGTGTTCATGGTGGTGCCGTGAAGCCGAAAGCTGCGCGCAATAACGCTAGGAAGTGTTCCTCCGTGGAACAATTGTTCAGCGGGGTGCCTCAAAGTTCGAAGAAATGATGGTGGTGGTGAGTGGGAATGTGGAGGTGGATTTGATGTTTGGTGTTACGAGCACTGGAATGGTTATTTAGGTTAAACAGTTAAATGTATTGTAGTGTACAAATGTTATGTCTCATGCTAGTGCCTCTTTTTTCGTTTCTTCTTGTTCTGTGGAGCTGTGATGAAACTGTGCAATCAATGTTCGCTAAACCTGGAAAATTATGCAGTTGAATGGGAAGAACTTTGTTTTCTAAAGACTCTATGCAGCATCCATGTTCATAACCTGTTCTTGCTTTCTTGGGATGGTGTTTGCATATTTTGTATTATTAATTATAATCTATTTATTGGATGAATTAAGATGAAGTTTTTTATGAAGCTATAATAATTGTAGGGTATAGTAGATGTGAAATGATAGAGATGTAAAGGTGAGGCACTGGTATTTTGTCGCAAAAAGAAGAGTACAACTGAGAGTTCTATTCCTGGACTTGCGATTGGCAGTGGCAGTTGCAGTTGGAGAAAGTTCCTGAGGTCAGATCGAAGGAGAGATTCACAAAATATGGTGCCAGTCTACCACAACACAGTACGTACCCAGTTCTTCTAAAAATATATATGACAAATTAAATCGTTTTTTCGGAAATTTCATGCTATCTTTGCCTTGTTAAATAAAACAAAACATCATCAATCTTGTCAAAAGTTAGTTCTTTGGCTTACAAAACATTATAGATCTTTTTCTCATAAAGTAAAATGGAATCAAGTATGTTCAAACAATATATATTTTCGTTTGTAAGATATGACTTAATCTACATCAATAAAATAATATTATATTCAAGAATGTTTTTACAATTAATATTTTTCTACTATTAAGTCAAAGAAATTTCAATTTTTTTTAAATAATTTAAACTATAACGAGTTAATTATAATACTTGAGTATACATGATCTGATATCTTTAAATGGCGTTTATTGCATATCTTCAGATTTATTTTGTTTGGAATTTTGTTCTGATTACTTTTGTGCGACTCTTCCTATTAACTAGGAGTACGTTCATGGTTTTAATTCCTTAGATTCTTTTGTTAGATTTGATGTTTCTTTCTGGAAAAAGAACAAAATTTAAGGAATTAGACTAGGAATCTTTGAAAGATCCAGTCAAATTCATTTCAAAGGTAATATGAATACTCAAAGGCAAAAATAAGATCATCCAACAATTTTACTTATTATATTAATAATGTTAATAAAATCTTACATTTAGTCTTAAAATTATTCTCGGAATACAAATGTTCGACGTGTTGATGTGTTATGAGCAGTGTAGTGAGTAGGGTAACAGAATAAAGTAATCAATTTATTCTGTGAATAAAATCTAGAGAAAGAAAAAACAGCGTCAGCTTCTTCTTCTAACAGTATCACCTTTAGATTGCACCACCAGAAATAATGAATTCAAATTAAATGCAAAATATTTCATTTTACTTTCACACCTTGAGCAATAGAGAGCAAATGTGGAGTTTATTTACAATTTTTTTTTAATTACTTTTGTCGTTGTCCATCATGTTGAAAGTATTTACAGTTTTATCTATTATAATTTTATGCTTAAAAGATATTTTAATAAAATAAAATAAAATATAAAAATTATTATTGATCTTTATTCTTAATTAATATTAAAATCAAGTAATTGATTAATTATTAGTGAGTTTGATTAAACTTGGAAATAAGAATAATAATAAAAAAGGTTAAATTGTATTTATAAATTATAATAAACATGTAATTGAAGATCACCATATAAATCAATTATATTAAAAGAAAAAAGTAAGAAAAATACGTACCTTGTTGGGTGTTACGATTATTGCTTACGCCCAATTCACGATAGACTTTTGTATCACTTTAAATTCAAAGGTAGAATGAATATTTTTTTTACTATAAAATAAAACATTCACTTAACTATAAAATATTCAATGAACAAGAAAAATATTATTTAAACATTTTATTTGATGAAAAAGAAATTCAATTATAAAAGTAAAATAACATAGATTACATCTACTTCACAATATTATCTTATCTTAATCGTCAATTTAAAAATTATTTTATTGAAATAGTCGTACCTAGTTTAGAATTATTTTGACCTTATAAAAGTTTTAAAAATAATTATATATATATGAAATGAAGAAACAGAGGTTGAAAGTTTTTTTTTAAGATTTTTTCATTGAAAATAATTATTTGCTTTAAATTTCATTTCTTCAAAAATTTGTTTGACTCAAATCATTTAAAAATTAAATTTTAAAAAAATTAAACTAAGCACTATAAATAAAATATGATAGACAAAAATGTCTCTCCATCCATCACTATTACAAATATTATTATTGTTGTTTGACCTTACATTATTATCTTAAATGAAAACGAATCACTTCGCTTTTATGGGAACAATATTATTAGGTCTAAATACAAGTATCACTTTTAAAACTAAAATTATAAATATATCGATAAATAGAAAAAAATATTATAATATTATGTTGATAATTGGAGATACGAAGAAATTTGATGATGGATAGTAATTAAAAAATAAAGACTGCGAGAGAAAAACATCGAAAAAAATATTGAAAAATAAAATGACATAGGTGCAATGAGTCTAAATACCAAGAGGTAAAAAAATATAAAACATCAAGACTTACAGAGAAAAACAAGGAAAGTATGATGTCCAGAGAAAACAAGTAATCAAAAGATATAAAAAAACAATTATTATTCTATTATGATAGACGTACAATAACAATAGGAGAGACATGATTGATTTTTTGTGTGATTATATTTTATTTAAATTTGTAATTTTTATTTATTATTAGATTTGAGTAGTTTTATTTTAACTGTTACGTATCAGAAATATAAAAAAAATATAAATAGGAAAAAATAAATGAAATTTGATGATTATTATAAATTGTTGAGAAAAACTTAAGTTTTAAAAACATTATAAAAATAAATATTTTTAATAGAATTATATTTTTTATAATTTGAATTATGTCTTTAGTTAATTTTCTGTACCAATCTCTATTTTATCTTTATCTTTCATATTGAGTTAGATTTATTTTTTTATCGTTTACTTTTTTCATACATTTATTTTTTAGTAATTTATTTTATTATCTTTTATTACTCTAATAATTTATTTTAAATGTTTCAAGTCATATTAAAAATAAAAGTTAAATGCCATTGATCTAGTCAAAATATACTTTGTTAAATATTGATTACTTAATATAAAGAGCTCACTTAATATTTAACTGATTTATCGCATAATTATATATATATATATATATATATATATATAATTAAATCGAAAAATGCATCATTTTCACAAGAAAGAGGCATCATCTTGATTAAGTTGGGGTGCCCTTCGATACCCACCCTATCCTCTGGTGCAAGAAGTTTCAGCTCTAATGAAGTCTAATTGGGAGATTATTAGATGCTCCTGATTTTGAAAAGAGCTAATTATATACCTGATGATGATGGTCATGAGTCACAAACTCAACTTGGGTCTTCACAAATTTTCTGTTCTTCCTACCTATATAATAGCTCTAGATCTTTATTATGCAAAATTTTTGTTTTTTAAGTTTCATCCCTCTGTCACAAAAAAAAAAAAAAAAAAAAATATATATATATATATATATATATATATATATATATATATATATATATATATATATATATATATATTGAATTACTACATTTAGATCAACAGAACCAATCTTCAATCTGTTTTGCCTTCAAAAAGGAAATAAAATATAGATGTCTGAATATAAATACAGCAAGATAAGGTCATGATGCGATAGAAGATTATTATATAACTAGAGAATTAGAGATTACAGATGCCAAAAAGGAATGTTTATACCATCTAAGTATTTATATCATTGTTTATAGAAAATATTCGAAAAATATAACAGTCTCTACTCTTGTAATTATATCTAAATCTGTACATTGAGATAGAGATAAAAACAAGACAAAATGAATAGAATTATTAACCAAAAGTCGTTAACATAGTAATAGAACCATGATTATTGTAGATCTTAATGTTACTTTTAATTATATAATAACCAATATAAAAAGAAGTGTAGACAGTATCATCCTTCAAAAAATTTATCAAAACTCATCTTTAATTTATTTTCCTTTATATATATATATATATGTACACTCAATGTTAATCTAGTTATTTCTTGATATTTGGTTAGCGACCGTTTCAAAAATGAAGAAAAAAAAATAGAAATAAATCTAATGAAAACATTAGTTTAGCTCATAAGGGATTAGTTAAATTATTAATCATTAAAATAAGAGTGGTGTTTTTTTTAATGTATAAATATGATAATAGATGTTAGGCGAAAAATAAAGGTAAAAGACAGACAAATATTGGTGCGATACAAAAAAAAAAGAAAAAAAACATATAGAGAAGAAGAAAAAATATAAAAAGGAGTTAATTAACTGTATATATTAATCTTTTCATTTCTAGAGGATAATAGATTCATTCTCTTGTTCTTTTTGCATAGTTTCTTTTTTTTTTTTACGGAAAATGTAACTTAAACCTTTTATGTTTACTCTTAAAATGATAAGGGTCTTCAAAGGGTAAGTCCATGCCTGGATCATTTGTTAAGATTATAACTGGAATCGGGGAAAAGGTACTGGCTGAAGACTTACACTCAGAGGACTATATATGAACATGAACTCACCAATAAATCATAAAAGTCCAATCAGAGTCAAACAAACTTGCTACAATAACCAAATTCCATGAACTATCAACTATCTGTGTATATAAGTAACTACTACTTCTCAGTAAATATTTATGTAATGAAGGTTGAGAAGGAAGAGGTTTGCCCCGAAGAATCTTTGGACAACAGTAAAAGTTTCACGAATACTTTCTATTGGTTAAACCCAAGAAATTCCATGAAATACTCCATGGGAGCTTCATTCAGATCGGGTAAGAATATTCTAGGTTGCTGGCCACCACTCTTTCGTTCGTTGGAAGGAGCAGTTGTTGCTGCTTCACTGACAGGTTCTTTGATCTCAGTTGCTGCCTCACTGACAGATGCTGCTTCAGAAGCAGGTGATTGGTTCTCATGCATCTGATCTTGTGCAGGGGCTATGTCTGATGGACTGTATTCAGCCTCCAAAGGTTTAGGTTTTGGTTGGACATTAACAGCTTGTCCCGTTTCCAAGGCCAGTCGTGACAACAACTCCATCTGTTATGAGAGAGAGGTCAGTGGACATATCACATAATTTTGTCTGTAACAGTTCATCTACTAGTGAAGAGAGGTTTCCAATCTTGGAAATGTAAAAGATGGAGCTAGGTTAGATGGTACTACTAAGGTTGATGAAAGCAACTCGTAAAAGGTTACCTTTGTTTTCTTTAACCTTTGGCCTTCTGCTCTTCTTCTCTCGTATTTGAGATATGTGGCTTCTAGCTCCTGCTTAAAATTTCACATAAAAAACAAACAAGAAGAAAAATGTCTCTCTCTGTATATATAAAAGAAGGAAAATTAATTCAGGTTGATCATACATCTCTAATATTACTTCCTTCGTCTTTCTTCTCTTGTTCCACCCGTCGTAGATAAGAGAGAGTCTGAAACGATACAAGTTTAAAGAATTAAGATGAAGCATGTATATATTGAGAGGTAAAAAATAAAATATTCATCTTTTACTCATAAATAACATGAAGTCATTTTCACTGTTCATCCCGAAATACATGTATACATCCGCTAACTAATTATGATGCAATTTTGTTTGCTGATAACATTATAAGCCACTTCCCTATTTTATTTTTCACTTGCACTGATGATTGACAAAGTTTATTCATACCCTTTTCTTCTTTGAGGATGTATTCTTAGTCTTATCAGCTGAAGTTGCACTTTTATCCACAGGCTGCGAGAAACCAAATATGAAAGAATTTAAAAGGCTAACACATTTGAAAAAGATGGTGACAAAACAAGGAAATAGGCGCATTTGATCTATGTTTTTCTGCTCATTAAGTCAATAAGTAACCTGTGGGATGAGGGGTTAGGCCAAATTCCATTGTTAACTAAAGCCCTAATCTATTCTAAGTCTAGATCTTACTAACTCTTTCACACTCTTTAAAACTTATATTACTCCTTCTAATATATATTTATCTAACCTATAAAATATTAGCAGTAAAAAAAGTTTAATACAAAGCAATGAAATTCTGCTTAAATCTGTACATATCTTCTCATCCAAACCCTTTATTCACCATTCCCTCAACCAAAAAGTGACTGTATTTACAAACTATTTTTTTCAAACCTACATGTTTTCTCCACCAGTAATCAAGTTCTAAAGTAAATGACCTTTTTTCTTTTTATTTCACTTAAAAATAATTTACCTTGTTCATTCAGCGTGTTTGATTGTAAAAAATAAATAAATAAAAATTGATTTTAATTATACATAGATAATAAAATGTATTATCTATATTTATAAAGGTATTTATTAAATTAAATGTAAAACAATATTTACTTCAAGTTTTAAATATTTAAAAAGTTAAAAATAGTTAATTGAATACATTCAATATTTTTATCATCAAATTAATAATATCTCTTAAATATTCAACGAATCCAACAAACTGCTCATTAAAGCCCGTACTTAAATTAAATTTAATTATTTCACAAATAATTTTTTTTATATTATAATCCACATTCTGTAATAACTTAATTTGTCGTAGATTTGGTGTTGTACTTTCATAGTTGGTCAGGGAATGTGCTTGTGCATGAATTACAAACACAACCCAAGAAAAATAATAATCTAATATTACTAAAATATCCCTGACCATTAATTGGAATAATTGCATTCAAATATGGAAGACAAACATTGAAAACAAGGGCATTTATTTTGTTTATTTATTATTTTTTAAATAAAAAAATATTTAAAAAATGAGATCAGTTTAATTTTAATACCATATAGAATCAAATCTCTTTTTCAGTTAAAAACCCAAAATACTGCAAAAATAAGAAATGGACAAAAAAAACTCTTCACATTCCACAAACAAAGAAAAAACGTGAGAAGGGAAATGAAATAAAAGAACGCATTTCCGGTGAGAATGAGAATGAGAATCATAGTTTGTTTTGTTTGGGTGAAAGTGAGGGAAGTAGAAAAGAGAATGAGAAGCCCAAACTTTATCATAATCGCAAAAATAACCGACGCGAAAAAAGATTAATGAACCTTAGATTCTGAGGAACGCATTGGTGCCGTTGGATGAGTCGAGCCTTCGGAACCGTCACGAGAGGTGACGGCCGTCCGGGTGAGGGGGGTGGCGGGGCTGGGGCTGGTGCGGACGAGGTACCTGGTGGTACGGCGCTGACGGCAGGTCCAGGGGTTGACGGATGACTGATGACGGTGACGGAAAAGGAGTAACTGGTGGGCAACGAGAGTATCATCGGCCATGGCCATGGAAACCCACTGGTCATAGACTTTGGACATTGGAGGAGTCGAGAGAGTGAGTGAAGGAGAAACTTTGAATGCGTAGAAAAAGTGGAAGGGAGGGGATTATATAGTGTTGATGATTGGTGTGAATAAGGTGGGGTGCACACCAATCTTAACTCTTTCCTCTCAGTTTTCAATCCTTATCAAAATAATATTATTTTTTTAAAATAACATTCAATAATATAAGGAATCAAGTTATTCTAAATGTGATTATAAGAGGTTTGTGTTTTATTTTATTATTTTTTAATTTAATAAAGAAATTATCTTTAATTATTGAGTTTTGGTTTTTGCAGTAATATCCCTCACCCTACATATATATACTCAATAATTGAGTTATACATTAATTATGCTACACTATAACTTTAATAAATGAATTCATATCATAAATTTAATTATTATATTAAAACATAGGTTGTACATTGATGTGCAAAGTAATGTAAGAGGCATGGTAAATTTAGGTGAGTGAAAAATATAACAAATACCTTAAAAATATATTAATAATATTTGTTTTAGAAACTTTCTTAAAAGAGTTAATAATAAATAATTATTTTAAAAAGAGAGACAAAAATTAAATGGACAATGATATTCTATCCTATCAATTTTCATTTGTTTCTATTTGCATTTCAAAGTTATTTTTGTTGTTAAAAGAAACAACAACTTCTCTTTCTGTATTAATGTGTAGTTCTAATTAATTATGCAATTAACGCTTCCCATAAAACAATTTGTTTTTCAAAAATTATTTATTGTTTCTTAAAAAACGAACATAATAAACATATCTGTCTCCGTTTTTAGCTGTTATATATATATATATATATATATATATATATATATATATATATATATATACTTTTAGTTTTTTTTTAACTGTTATATATATATATATATATATACTTTTAGTTTTTTTAATATACATTATCATTCTTTTATAATTAATATGAGGTTCTCTTTTACTTCTGTACTATTTTCTTTTATCTTCTTTTGTATCTTTTTGTGTCTTATTTTTTTTTTTCCTTTTGTTTCTTTGATGCTTCATATTGGATCATTTATCCTAACATAATAAAATTTATTACTGACTTTTTTTAACCGAAGAAAATTAAATTTCATATTTTAGTTTTCATAATTTATAAATTTCAATAACTCACGTATATCCTCTAATATCTTTATCTTTTCATTATCACATTTATTATGATAATCAATTTGTTATATAAATAGTCTCCAACTAAATTTTCTATAGGTACACTAAATATTAAAATAAGTTGTCTTATAGTTTGAAAAAAAAAAAAACTCAAATGAAACTTATGTCTATATCCTCATCTTATCAAACAATTGATATTTTTATTAAGTTATTATCTTTTATTGTGTTTAGTTACTGTGCTAAAAATAAGGAATATCTATTCTCATTATCATATTTTAGGTTGGATAAGTTTTTAATTTTTTTATATATATGCTTCTAATTTATTTATTTTAACATACACTATCATTCTTTCACAATTAACATCGTTTTTCTTTTTTCTATCTCTTTTTTTTTTTTTCTCTTTTCCCTTCTTTCACTATTGCACTCTTTTGTTTCTCCTTTTACCATGAAGTGAAACATTATTAAACCTCTTGCAAATGTGTGTTGCGATATATTTTTGCACCTCAACTTAAAATAATGATCTCATCCCAAATTGACTTTGCAATGTTAATTGAATTTTGCATTTGAAAATATATTACCAGTTAATTGAATCTACTTATGCTTTGAAGATTCAGTTTTTATGTAAATTGGGTTTACTTAGTATCTAGTTTAAACTTTTATTTTCTAGTAATATATTACCGTTTAAATAAAGTAATATATAATTAGGAACATTGTACAATTTTTATATTCTCTTATTCTTTTTAAATTTTTAATAAAGAATATAATGTACATATTTTTGAGATGTTCTAGACCTAATTTTGCTTGAGTAAATATATACTAATTCATCTCAAATAATTATGAATTTGGATTAAATAATTTGTTCATGATTAAGATTGGTATGACCTAATATGACCCAATCTGTTAACCCAATTAAGCAACTCAAACTCGAGCTAGTGATACCATGCTATCAAATTTATGACTTGTCAGGTTGGGCCAAAATTTTCAATTTAGACCCAAACTCGTTATATGACCAGACTTATTTCTGACAAGGATTTCGGTTTATCTTGTTTGAGATGTTATATCAGCTTATCAGACTAGATTGGCCATAACAAGCAATATACCAATATTTTATTAATATATGTTTTCTCTCTCTCTCTCTCTCTCTCTCTATATATATATATATATTAGAATATTAAAGTCTACACTTGTGTAAAATAATTTTAAAAATATTAAAGTAAGGCTTAAAATATTAAAATGGGCACCACTTAACATTTTCCATGAGTGGTAAACATTATTTTATTTAAAAGTTAAGAATTAGTGATAGATCAAGAAATGTGTAGATTACATGGAATACCCCATTCCTAATACTTTAGTAATTACATATTAAAAATATTATTAAAACTTCATTGTCAGTGAATTATAAGTGGTTTTATAAAAACATGAAACTTATATTTTTGACAAATCATTTTAATATAAAATAAATAATATTTATAAAAATATATGATTAAATTTATTGATTTATTATTTAATTTATATTTTTAAAATTTAATAATTTATTATTTAATTTAATTTATTTAATATGTTATTTTAATAAAATAAGATAATTGAATATCATTTATTAAAAACACTACAAAAAACTCAATGTCATTTATTAAAAAAATAAACTCTGAGAATATTTTTTTCTAAATAATTTATATAAAATAAAAATAAGTAAAACTTATTAAAAATGTTTTTTTATTTTTATATTATATTTTATTTTAAATAGATCTTTACATATTTTATTATTATTAACATAGATTTAATTCTTATATATATAAATTAAATTATCTTTTAATAACAACCTATAATAAAAATTAAAATTTATATGCACTTTCAAATACCAAATTCAAGCTTTAGCTATTTGGAGAGGCGTGTTAACATCTGGAGCTATGAAAAATTGAAATCGGTGAGTTACTCGAACTAAAACCCTAACTAACCCTCGCTGGTGCAATCTTCCGCCATGGCCCTTCTTCTCCGTCTCCATCGAAGAAGCACGACCAACTCTCGCATAGTCTTCTTCTCTACTTCCAATGCTGATTCCAATTCCAACTCTCCCTTCTCTTCCCTTCTCAGAGAAATCAAGATCAGTCCCAAACAATCCTCTCCCCCTTCCTCAGACCTCCGCTCCCAAAAACCCTGGCGGAACGAAATCCAAAAAAACCTCACCGAGTTCCGTGCCCGGACCACCCCACCACCGCCGGGCGAACCGCAACAGCACAACCAGCAATTATCGTTCCAGGGTATCTACCACCGCAACATGCAGCGTAAAACTTCGGGAGGACAGCCCTCCATCAGCTTGAAATCCATTAAAGAGAACCTGCGGATCATCCCCGGCGGCCAAAATTCGGTGCGGCCCAGCCGTCCCGGGTTGACCGACGGGACGAGCGCCCTGCCGGATTCCATTTTCGGGAAGGAGATGAGGAAAGAGGGCTCGGCGATGACGGCGGTGTTTTCGGCAGGTTTCTTGAAGACCTACAGTATGGATGAATTGGGGAAGAAATTGAGGATGCTGAGACCGGAGGGACAGGGGAAGGGTTGGTTTTCGGTGAGGGAGTTGAGTGAGAGGTTGGTGAGGTTGAGGCAGATGGAGAAGGAGCAAGCCCGTTCCAATACCCAAGATGATGCTTTTGACAAAGTCAGAGGATGCCTCGTTGAGATACAAGAAGAGGAAACTCGCACGGCTAAGAAAGCTTCAGGTAAGTAACTACTTCAACAACATCTTATAGTTTTTCTTAATCAGGTAACTAATTAATATTTGTGTGTGTGTGTGTTTTTCAGTTCAGGGACTTAGTATATTGACCCACTTGAGTGGGACACAAATCTTCTCCCTTGATCCTCCTAAACTCGATCTTGTTGAAAAGGCAATTATTTATACTTCACATGTTTTGCTTTGATTTGCTCATGTCAACCTTCTCTTCATTCAATCAACAACCTGTTATAGTGTTTTTGTTTTGATGTCCTAATACTGCCACTCTGTTTATTACCAGTACTTTCACCCTGATAATATGTCCTCCGAGGAGAAGTTGAAAATTGAGCTTGCCAAGGTTAGAGACGAGTTTAAAATGTCGGAGTCGGACTGCGGTTCTGCGCGTGTTCAAAGTAAGGATTGGTTTGTGTAGTGTTTGTTTGATTAATAGGATTTGGAAGGAAGGGATTAGGTTTGCTCTGCTTATCTATTTGCTATATTGGTCTTCGTAAAAATTGAGGTCATTGTTGATGCTTATGAGAATGTCAATAGGCACTCATTAGTTAATTAATATTATCTCTTTGATGTTATGCAGTTGCACAACTCACAACTAAGATTAAGCATCTATCAGCCGTTCTACACAAGAAGGTGAGTTGCCCCTTCGCATGCCATTTTTTCTTAAATGTGTTCTTGTGTTTGTGATCACTGACTAGAAGACTCTTCAATAGAAGATTTGTACAAGTTGTTATCTATTATTGCATGCTTAGTTTATGGAGGGCATTTTAATTGGGACATTTACTTCTTGCAAATCTAGTTTGAACTTTGAAGGTACTCCTCCAATTTCTTTTGCTAGTATTCTCTGTTCATAGAATGTAAGATTTATTAAAAAAAAAACAAGTTATTTTTTTTTTTCAGCTGCAGAATACAATAATTGATTGTGTTCTTTATCATGAAGGAGCGGATTCTTGGAAAGTTATCATAAAGTGTCACTAGTTTTATTTTAGAATGATGATACATGTACAACCCCATTTCAAAAACATCCAATGTACAATTCAATTTATTAATATAATAATTATAAAAGGATTTTATATAAATAAAAATAATTTGAAGTTATTATTATATTATTAAATGAGGTTGTTAAACGGTTGTTTGTAAAACTGAGGTTGTCAATTTATCTTTTCCGTTTATTTTATTATACTCTACTGTGCAATGAGGCCATATAATCTAATGATACTGTTAGACAGGAAAACACACCAATCATGAAAGACCTTAATTAGATGTTCTGTTATTTAGTTAGAACTTTGACTTGCATTTTAAATTTGTATCAACAAGTGATCTAACTTGAGTTTGTCTGGCTTGAAGCTTTATTTGGTATTATATTTTCAGCCATGGGTGAAAGTAGCAGATGATTTAAGACTTGATTAGCTTGCTTCCATGCCTTCTTTATTTAGATGTTAAAAGTTGTAGTTTTCCTGTATTTGTCTGAGTGTTTCACTTGTTTACATAGGGGACAATTTGATTTTAGCTTTATTTGATTCCTAGAGCAGGGTAAATATGCTGAATGTTGTTATGATTCTGTTAAGAAACTATTGGATATGGCCGTATACTCATTCATTTATTGTGTTCTTTGTTTCATTTTGCTGTTGTTTATGTCATTTGACCAGCCTATACTACCATGGAAGATATTATTCTTTATCACCAATCCAAATTTACTATGTGAACTTAACCATTCAGATTTATTCTATGCAGTGTGACCTTGTGAATTTTATGAAGGGTCTATTTAATCCGAAGTAAAAGTAGGCTAGGTATGTAGTGTACGCAATAATTCATCTCTGACTCTATTCATTCCGTTGTGCTTTAGGATGTTCATTCTCGTAAAGGCTTGCTAGCAATGGTTCAGAGGAGAAAAAAATTACTGAAATATCTCAGAAAAACTGATTGGGATTCCTATTGTTTTGTTATCTCCAAGCTGGGTCTACGTGATAATCCTGATTATACTTACAGAGCACGATCTGGTGTGGCGGCATAGGGTTGCATATCCGGTGGTCAGATAAGATGAAAGAAACCCCAATACGAACCGATTGGAAAGAAAACCGGCCGGTTGACGAAAAGTCAGCTGGGTTGTGCATGTTTATTCGGGTCAGGCAGGGTGTAAACCAAACCGGTCAATTGGCTGAAACACTGGTTTTCAGGTCTTGTTTTAACAACTATAATTCTCACATCAATTACTGATGCAATTTGTTATTCCATTTTCCTTTTTCTGTGCGAGGAGATTGATATTCTGATCAGCCCCTTCAATTATTTTATAGTAGCCTTGGGTTGATTTTTATTTTGTACAATAGTGGTAATAAGGTTTGGATCTATAGTTTTCTGCAAGCTACTATCCACCAGAACCTAGAACCTTTGGTTGAATTTAAGCTAAAATATTCTTTGACCCCTTACATTTGTGTAATTCCCACATGTCTCTCTTATTTCTTGCAATTTTTATCTTGTTCCTTTAAGTTTGCGATATTATTTTATAATGTTTCTTCTGTTAATTTAACACTAACGCCAACACCGAAAGTGTTTTAGATTTGAAAGGAATAAATTTTAATGTAGTGATGGCTGAAAACCATCACGATGTGTAAATTATTTGTGATAATTTTAAGTTTTTAATCATTAATTTAAATATAGTTGTGGCTAAAATCCATCACAACATTACTTTTGTTTTATTTTAAAAACCACGGATAAACCTTCCTTCTCTTCATCCTCAACTCTCAAGCTTGAAAATCCAACATATGGTTTAATTTTGAAGTGTTTGAAATTGATTCAATTGTGTGATAAGTGCTTGATGAGATGACTCTGAAAGGGACGTGGCTTTTAATGTTGTTATTTTTGTCGAGTATGAAGTAGATCAGGATTTTGGTGGAAAATATAAACTTGACTAGTCTGAAACCAAATGTGGCTTAAGTTTAATATATCTTGACCAACCTAATAACTTAAACACACAAAAATAAGGTTGTATTAAGTTAGATAAATTCATTCTATTTTTTCATTATTGTATGTGAAATAGTGATATAAAACTGTATATAATGAGTTGTAAAGTGATAGAATGTGATGGGTTGGAATGAAATGAACTATTTTTTTTTCATTGCTTAAAGATGAATGGAGTTATAACCTTATAATTTTAACATTGTTTCTATTTTTTAAATATATATTATCTCTAAGAAAAGATATTTATAATTAAAAAGCTTCGTTACATCAAATGCCATCTCAAATGGAATCAAACAATAAAACAGAATATGTCATGATCTACTTTTAGTATGTTTTTATTATTGTTTTTACAAACCAAAAAATAGTAGAACTTTTTTTTTATTCAACTCCATTCTTCTCTCTTCCACTACCTTCTAGCTATTTAAACATAATCTAGGAGTCCAAGGTGTTCGAGCCAAGCCTCGTATCTTTACGTTTTCATAATTTACCCATGCAGAATATACAAAAGGTTTTTTATTTACACGCTAATATAAATGTTTAATACTCAAAGTTTATCACCCATTATTTTGTATTTATACTCAAATCATACCTGATGAATTACGCTAGAATCGATTATTAATTATTTTTGGTTTAATAAATATTTACATTGGACCGAATAGGTAAGAAATGTGGGCCAGGCTTCCGAAAATCAGCGGAGATAGGTCTGACCGAAGGGTTGGCACATTCGAAAAGGAGAGTCATGAATTTGTAATTATATATTGAAATATTATATATGGATATTGCAAAAAGAAAAGGAACGTGTATGGTTTCTTTTGTGTCGCTTTCCATAGTTGTCAAGAACAGAAGGTGAAATAAGCATTTCCAGATAGCTAATGGCAGCAAACACGGTGTGCGTAACTGGTGCTGGAGGATTCGTAGCGTCTTGGCTTGTTAAGCTTCTTCTCTCCAAAGGTTTCTTTGTCCATGGAACTGTCAGACAACCTGGTTCGTTATTTTTCCTTTTTTTTTTTTTTTCTCATTCTTTGGATTGGATTCATATTTCATTTGAAGTTTGAAGTGCATGTGTGAGCAGGTAGCGAGAAATACCAACACTTGCTGAAACTGGAGGGAGCTTCTGAAAACCTCACACTCTTCAAAGCAGATCTCTTGGATTACGATTCTGTTCTTTCGGCATTTGTTGGATGCACTGCAGTTTTCCATGTTGCTTGCCCTGTACCCTCAACAGTTGTTGCCAACCCTGAGGCAAGCCTAATCATCTACTTCTGCAACATCTAATTCTCTTTATTTTTTTATGAATATGGTTTTGGTATTTTATATGACACAATTGAAACTTTTTTTACCTATGGTGCTAGTGTTATTGATTTGTTCTTTTAAAATTCCATCTAGGTGCTAACTTAATTATTTCACAATAGAAAGTTCCTATTTGGTACAAGAATGGATACTTTAAATATATGGGAAAGGGTGTATTTTATTAGACCTATTCGAATCCCCCTTGATCCGATCACAAGGGCCCGCTTGAGGAAGTTCAAGCAGCAAGGAAGCTCTATTGATTTGTTTCCATTTTAAGATTGAAAATGGGGTGGTAGAAAAAAGAAGAATGGAACGAAAACAGAAAGGGGTTGACAGTGAGGACGTTGGATCAAGGGAGAAGATGTGAAAATGAGTACAAAGTGAGATAATTTTATTTAGGTTTAATTATATTTTAAAATTTTGAAACTTGGGTAAATAATATTTTTTCTCTTAAATTAAAAAATAAAATATTTTAGTTTCTAAAATAAAATAAAATATGATTTTAGTCTTTAAATATTAAATTTAAAGGATTAAAATGATTTTTGTAGTCATTTCAATTTATTAATTAAGTACTAAAATGAAGTGTATTTAAATTTATTAATTAAGTACTAAAATTTTTAGTCTTTAAATATTTTTCAATTTTTTTTTAGTAGGACTTGAATGTCTCATTCCGTGTATTTAGGCTATTCATTCACTCTCCTATCATTACATGAAGTGAAAATGTCTTCCAAAACTCATTAAATCGAAGGCATTGTCATGGAGTTAATATTATGTTCATGGTCTTATCGAATTTCAATCCTAGATATTAGGTCTTTGTTGACTTCCGCTATAAGGATTTAGGAGTATGTTAGGTGTACTTGTACAATTGATACCATACATAGCTTTTCTCTTTGGATTGCTGATTTCATTAGGTATATATGATTCTTCAGGTAGAAATGATTGAACCTGCTGTGAAAGGAACCGCTAATGTACTTGAAGCTTGTCTAGAAGCTAAAGTGCAACGGGTTGTCTTTGTATCATCGTTAGCTGCTATTTGCATGGACCCGAATTTACCTAAAGATAAAGTGATTGATGAGTCCTATTGGTCTGATAAAGATTACTGCAGAAGAACTGAGGTCTGTAAGTTTATTACGTGCGTGCTTTTGATGTGGATTTGTGATTAGTCTTATTCTATGATGGTGGTTTTATTTTAGTTCAGTTACAAAATATTCTAAGTTTCAATCATCAAGATTGTTTGTCTAAATGTAACTGTTGAAAGTCCCACATCGCCTTTTATGTTGGAACCTTAACATGGTATCAGAGCCAAAGTCTAACATGTTTCCGGTTATTGTCATTGCCAAAAGTTGCCCTTTAGTTGGGTCAAAAGTACCCTTTGCCTAGTCCGGCAGGCTTCGTTGGAGGGGGTGTGTTGAAAGTCTCACATCGCCTACCTCATGTCATTTGGTATGGTTTAAATACATGTTAGACTAATCCACATATTGCCAATTGGTTTTATGTTGAAATCTTAACAGTAACTAATATCTCACATATGATCTAGAACTGGTACTGTTATTCCAAGACAGAGGCAGAGAAGCAGGCACTGGACTTTGCAAAAAGAACTGGGCTTGATGTGGTAAGCATTTGCCCTTCCCTTGTGTTAGGGCCAATTTTACAGTCAGCCACTGTCAATGCAAGTAGCTTGGTTGTTCTCAAACTTTTGAAAGGTGCCTACTATTTCCTTAACAAATTATTGTTATTACTATAGATCTAGACACACATCTTCCGAAACATTTTTTGTCATGTGAAAGTGGTAGTTAAATTTGTTGGTGTGCAGAACTAATTCTGAGTTTGGCCTTAGAAATTTGGTTGACCCAGGCGTCATGTCTAATCAACACAATTATGCCCTTCATGGGAGTTCTGCACTGTGTCGCTAGCTTTCATGCCCGATACTTGAAGTTATGCCAAATATTTTATTTGACCTGTTCATAAGAATAACATAGTTATCAAATAAAATAAATCATGTTATTGGGCTTTTTTCTGGTTTGTATTGAAGGTGGTGACTCATTTGAAAATAAGACCCGTTGGATAGTCGATGTACGGGATCTAGTTGATGCAATCTTTTTGGTGTATGAAAAGCACGAGGCAGAACGGAGATACTTGTGCAATTCACATACCGTCAACACACGGGATTTAGTGGAGAAACTAAAGAGCATATATCCCAGCTACAAGTACCCTTCAAAGTAAGATTCATTTTTCCTTGGTTTATAATTCAAAGGAAAGTTGTAGTAATCTTATTTTGGGTTTGATGCACCTCTAGAAATCTTACTAACATGACCCCAAGCTACTGCTTCTTGTGTTTGGACTGAATTCATAAGTTAAATATTATTGTTGGTAATTTCTTATTTTATTGGTATGTACAAATCATGTAACTAATATTAAAATATGAGATATGCAGGATATATAGGAGGGATATTATTTTTAATAATTGTTGGTAATTTCTTATTTATTGGTATGTACAAATCATGTATCTAATATTAAAATATGAGATATACAGGATATATAGGAGGGATATTATTTTTAATAGAAAAGTAAAAGATAAGTAATAGCAACACAATCTTTGTATCAGATGATCTGCTAATGGATTAAATTTTTGTGGAATCCAATTAAATTGTTTTGAGACATGAGAAAGGCATCTGCGCAAAAATTTGAAGAGCTTGCACTTTTGTTGTAAAAAATTTATGGTTGGGAAAATCAATCCAAATTTCCAAACATTAATGAAAGTAAATAGAAAGCCAAGAGGTGCATGTTTCTTGCCTCTTGAAGAATTCACTACTTAGGTTAGTGGAAAGGTGAGACAATCAATGTCCACTTAGTTTTATGCAGTCATGAATCTATTCATATGTAATGTGTAGAAAGAAGATACACCCTTCTAAAGAGAAGGTCAGCACCTAAGAGAAAGGGAGGAGGGCTGGTTTGTAATGGAGAGGATTTTTCAGGTTTGTCCGTAAAACTTGTAATGGGCAGATTTTCTCAAATTTTTGTAATTTGTTGAGATATAATGAAATATTTTAAGAGGGAGGCAAGAGGTATGATTTTATGATGCTTTCCTTGATTACTACTAGTGCTAAGCAAGTGCACGAAAAGGGATGAGTTGTTAGCCATAAAATAACTGATTATATACTACGAATTTAATGACTGTATATTGCTAATATAAAATAGTTTTACATCGTTATCTAATTATAAATGATTGTTGATTGTGATTGAAAGACAATGGAAAACTATTTTAAGAGTGAATGGATAGCCTATTTTTCCATGTACTATTTTGCATTTACATGCTTAGCTACAAGTTTCCTTTCCCGCAGCTTTACAGAGGTGGATAATTACTTAAGGTTGTGCTCAGAGAAACTGGAAAGGTTGGGTTGGAAATACAGGTCGCTGGAGGAAACACTCATTGATTCTGTTGGGAGCTATGGCTTCCTGCAATCACAATAAATTTTACTTGTTTTTTAATATCTATCCATTGCTCTGGATTATCACTGTACTGTACAAGTTTGTGAGAATGAAGTCTGAGAAACTGTTAGTTTCAATATTTGAAAGGTGGAATAATAAAAAAAAAACAAATTGTTCTGGAAAAAAGTGTGTCATAAGATAATAATGTTTATAAGTGATCTTGATTTGAATTTTTAAATGATGCAAGACACTTACATGCTGAAATAAGTTCGTACTCTTTTTTGAAGAGGTGTTAAATATAACTAGTTTTGTTGGTAAGAGTGGTTGATGGAACTTTTTTCATTTTGCTTTGATGATAAGATTTGTTTGTCTTTTCTTTTTATATATTTGTTTTTTAGGTGTGAGTAAATCAAATTATTTTCTCTTACATGTTTGACATTTTTAAGAAAGGTATAAAGTTTTCAATTAAAATTAAATAAATAGATATACTACTTAAATGCCACCTTCTTATTATTTTTAAAGTTTTAAATAAAATTTTATATTATTTATAATATAAATATTTTTAAACGATGTGTTATTTTAGAATTATAAGTAAAAATGAAATAAGTTTTTTGAGTAAAAAACTATGCGTTTTGATTATTGGAAACAATCATTGGAGGCACTGAATTATCTCAGGAAATTATGCAGCAAATAATTTCATTAGTTAGATTTGTCTTGAATGGTGGCGAGACACCCTAAATCAACTTTTAATAAAATGAACCGAATTTTCCTTCTGTTAAATTTATAACACTTTATGGCTGCAGTTTATTTACATTCTGTCACTTTTACAAATACAAACATGACTATTTTTCAGTCCATTTTTTTTAAGTATCGTTTTCTTTAATTAGATTGAATGTTTTTCCCCCTCTTTCTTTGGAGTGATTTCTTTTAATTGTTAGTTTGTAAATGTAAAAATTAAAATAATCTATTTAATTTGATTTTAATCATTAAAAAAAACTATTGTCTTTAATTTTTTTATTTGAAAATCAAATTATCCAATTATCTTATCTCTCTTGTAACATTTCCAACGAAAACTGTTTAGATTATTGTTAAGAATAAATAATTTTTACCATAAAATTCATATTAAAATAATATATTTTATTCTTAAAGATTCTCGCAAGTGATTTTTATTAAAAACTGTCTTTTACAAAATATATTAATTATCTTTTACAAAATATTATCATTATTAGTATTTTTAACTGTTTTCAATGGAATTGCTGAGGTTAAAATATATTATACATCTTCTCTTAAAAAAAAAACGAACAAATGATTTTTTTTTCTTCTTCTGAAAAGCAACAAAGTGTAAAACGGATAAATTAAACAATCTCTTTCCCAACATAACGTTACATGCCTCAACTTTTTCCACAACAAGAAAAATCATTACTGACAAAAAAAATCACACAAACACAGTTACACAACGTGCAACTTATCCTAAAAATGCTAAATCAACAGTGTAATGCTATTTTAACAATACATTCCCATATTTCTTTTCATCAAACCATCCATCCTAGTTTACATTTTTCTACTCTTCTCTTCATTTGTCCTTTTTTCTTTGTTGTGGAATGTATTGTGAGAATATGTTGCCAAAATAGCACAACTCTTGCTTAGCACATGATTTTTAACACTGGCAGGTACAACACTACCAGACAAGACAGTGTCCACATTTCACAATGAGATTCCTCAGCTTCAGATCAGCAATAATCATCTACTTCAGAAGGTGTGACTATAGTTCTCAATGATGGTTTTGTAAACTCCAACCAAGCAACAAAATCATCACTCACCATCTTACAATTCTTTAGATTCAACTCTTTCAATGTCCTGCAGTTTTCTACTACTTCCCTTACACCCTTTGGTGTAACATGCCAGCAACTCTGGATATCCAGAAGTAGTAGTCCACTACACCTCCTTGAGATTACTGAGAGTGCTTCATCCTCAATTCTTGACCCTGACAAGTTCAATACCTCTAGGTTGGAAACTTCAAAGTCTATCTCAAACACTTTCATTCCTGTATTGACCAGGCTCAAATGCCTTATCTCACTGCATCTCTTCAAAACCTCAACAATACCTTCACCAGAAACACCATCACAACCGGTTAAGTCAAGAAGCTGCAAACTAGGGCAAATGCAAACAAATTTTATCAAACTTGCATCACTCAGCAAAACATTATCACCCAAATACACTTTTTTCACTTCAAGGTTGACAACAAAATTATTCCTTGAATCTTCTTCACCCCCCACCCCAAGATATGTCCTCTCCATTTTGATCTCACTGAGAAAAGGACAGTTTCTTGCGAGAATGAAAAATGTTGAATTGGTCAGCTGGCAACAACCACTGAGGTTTATAGAAGTTAGGCTAAGAAGAAACACAGATAACTTGCTGATACATTGATCGGTTAAAAAATCAACTTTCCGAAGATCCAAGCATTGAACAGATTGGCATTTGGATAACACATAAGAGATTCCTGAAAATGTACAATTGCAACAATCTTGGAGGATAAGCTTCTTTAGCAGAAGACCTCCACCTTCTGCAACCGCTAAGAGAAACTCATCCGAGATAACAGAATTTGACAAATCAATAGCAGTTAACCTTTTCAAACTCTTGAACGAATCAATCAAATTCAAGTCAATGGGGGTGAGTGTTAAACCAGCTCCATGTATTCTTTTCTTTTCAATATTGAAGGAAATGGAACTCAAACCGGGTCTGAGGCGGATCGCAGAGGCAATGCCTATTTGAGTGATCTTGAAACAAGTGAAGAATGAAATCTCTTCCAATGACAAACAGTTTTGGCAAAGAGAGAACAAGGATTTATCAGTGATCAAGTAATTACCGGAGATATTAATCTTGCGAAGATTCTCAAGCATAGAAGACAGCCTTAGTACCCCGAAATCAGATGCTTGAGAATCCAATGGGAAGCTTATGTCAAGCTCTTCAAGAAATGGGAAACAATAGGCTATGATTACCAGATGGCTATCACGAAGAGAGCCAATGTTTGAGCAGATCAAAACCCTCAAATGTTTCATGTTTGAGCCAAGTTCTCGCAAGCCATCAATAGGAATTGTTCTCTGGTTGGATAGATTAAGCAAATGAAGATCCAACCCGGATTGTGAAATTTGATGAAGCAAGCCTTCATGGTAGCCATTCAAGCGACTAAGGTCTATGATTTTGAGCATTGGAAACCTCAGGAACAGACGAGGAAGGAGTGGAATGGTTGGATCATATATTGTGAGAGAGAATTGAAGCCTGTTTGTGATGGAAAGGAACTGCTTGCAAACCATAGATAGAGACTCCAAATGCTGACCAAGGCCAAGGAATCTGAAGACTGATTCCCAACATTCTTCAGGAAAATCTTTCTCGGGCATCTTTGTATTCTTCTTCTATCAAGCACCAGAAAACAAGTTTAGGATAGAGGGATGGTGCAAGTGATCATGAAGTCACAATATGATCAATGGCTCCCTGATTTAACAACAAACCAATCCAATTCAGAGGATATTTATTTAACAAGTTTAGGGTGTGTCAAAAGTGGTGAGATATAGGATTTGGCAATCAAGGTGATGAAATGAAGCTCCTAATTCTCAGAGAAGCCTCCTCCTTTTTGATATTTGACTAGTCCTGGTCCTAATCATGAAGCTCTAGGAAGTCTTTTGCTTGTTGGGTTGGCATGTTTTGGTGATCTGTAATTTTCACTTTTAAGGCTTTTACTTTTCATACATCTTTTTTCATTCAACAAACAAAATATTTTTTGTAGGAACAATCTTATCATTACTGTGGGACTCAAAAATAAAATAACCACTCATCACAAAACTTACCGCAGTCACTGTCTTATGCATCATCGAAAGAAAAAAGAAAATCACAATGTCTTATGGAGATGAAATTTGTATGAAAGTGCAGCGCACTACTTTCTTGAATGCAATGACTTCATGCATGATTCATTCGCAGCCTATGGTCTTCTTATTCTTTATATGCAATTTAATAATACTGGTCATAAGATATGATCTCTGCTTGAATAGTTTTAGTCACCAAAGATAATAATTATGTATATATTTATGAGTTTTTAGGAGTGCAAGCACACCAGCAACAAGTGGGAAAATGGATTTTTTTTTTATTAAACTCTAGATATCTTCTAATAGAAAGTTCAGAATTCATTTCAAGAAAGATGTATCCAATGAGTACATTTTTGTCAATGTATTATTTTTTATAAACATAGATTCAGAAAAAATCAATATATAACTATATTTTGAAATAATGTTGTCAATAATATTTTACAGTTTGACAAGAATTTCAATTTAACAACAAAACTCATTTACACATATTTAGGTAAATCAAGTTCATGTTTTTAAAATCACCTCCTTTAGTGGGAGAAGATTGAAGTAATACTTGACTTTTCTTAAAATGTTTCAATTATTAGGTCAATTTAGGAGATTCTAATTAAATAACCAAGTTTACTTTTACTTGTGTGCACTGTGTAATTTTTTTTGTGCTTTTAGGGTATTTAATTGATAATAGGATTGATTTTTTTTTATTGAGGTCAAATTTATTTCTCCAATATTTTATTATCATTCACATTCAAAAACCAATTTTTTAATATTTAGACTGTGGTTTGATAAGTAAAAGAAAACAAAAAAATTAGACCAGTTATTTTAAGGACATTTAGGCGACCTGTTTTTATTAGGTTAAATTGAATTTTTCATATTTTTTTTACTTTTTTATGTGCATATTTTTTAAAATTTCAATATCTTTATTTTAGAAATCTGTAATTTTGATTTAATACTCAATTATACATAAATTTTATTTCTTTCGTTTTGATTCAACACTAAATTTAATATATTAATTTATAGTAATATAAAATAATAATTTAATTTAACTAAATTTGTAAATAAAAGAGATAAGTGTATGTCAATTTTAAAAAATTGAACCAAATTTTAAAAAAAAATTGTAAGTTTAATAACTAATATTTTAAATAAATAAATAAATAAATAAAACTGCAAATAAAAAAATAAAGGTACCAAAATGATGATTTATCCTTTTTAATTATTATTAGTGCTATTTCACATTTGTTTGATTTTTACCCTAAAATTTTGGTTATAAATTTCTATGTTAATAATATCTTATTAACTTTTCAAAAAACTTAAGAAAAAAATAAATTTAAATGTGGATTAAGGATGTATAATGTTTAAAAATTATTATTCATCTCAACTTCTAAATAATATAAGATTTTTTAATATAATTAATACTTCTGGATATTCTTACAACAATATTCACCATCATCTTAAATGTCAAATGTGATTTGAAAAATCCAACTTGAAACCAAACAAACATTAAAAACTCAATCCATGTCATGATTGATTTAGTAACAAATGGCTTTTCGATAGTTGTTGATATTAGAGAAGAAGCTTCATCCCATACTAAGTGTTGTTTTGGGCCTGCCACCATTGTTCTGTTTCTTCAACTTTGAACCATAAAAAAAACATTGGAAGTTTTTTGTCTTTCCAAAAAGCATGGTTCCTTACAAACGCTTACTAATCATTGGATTCATCTCAACCCTTTTCATCTTCTTTCCCTTTCACTACTATTGACACATAGTATCCTTTGCAGAAATATAAAGCTGTTTTTGAAAGTTGACATGTCTCTTCCATACACAAAAGTGCAGAACTGTGTTCTCTGAGGCAAGTCAACTCAATATTTTAAATAGCTACCTATGGTAGTTGCAATATTATGTTTAAACTAATTTTCCACTTTCTTCATTACCATCAACAGTGAAACTATTTCAAATAAGCATAACCCAGAAGAATCTTATCCAAATAATATAATTCAAGGCTACAAGGAGAAAAAAGTAAGACAATTTGGAACTGTGATTCTGTAACACTCAGGTCCAATTACTTACAACGTATCCTATTCACACTTTATAATAAAAAGGTGGTAACAGAAACAAAAAAAGCGTATAAGGTACACAATTACATATACTAATAGTCAAATAAATAGTGCTGATATACTCGTATTTTCCACCTGCAGTCCCTCTTCATTTTCTCTCTTGTTATATTCATCTTCTTCTCAGAGAAGCAGCTCAAGGAAGCAAAAAATTGTCCGTTTCAGACTTCATTGCAGAACTAGGACACACTAACAATGCATCCATGACGCAAGAGGAGTTCCCTCTGGCCACCACTATGATCCAAACTCGGGGGGGCCATTATCCTTCTCAATGATGGCCTGGAAAACACCATCCAAGCAACAACACTAGCTTCCACTTCACAACAAGACACCAAATTAATTTCTCTCAATCGCGTGCATTTCTCCACCACTTTCCTAACTCCATTGGCCGTGACACCAGAGCAATCTTCCAAGTCCAAATGCAGCAACCAACGACAACACTTTGAGATCACACAAAGCATTTCATCGTCAACTACTGATCGTGACAAGTTCAACTCTTCTAGTTTTGGAACTTCAAAGTTCAACCCAGTTAACTTCACTCCTGAACAAAAGGCCAAGCTCAAATGCCTAACCTTACTACACCTCCTTAAAACCTCAACAACACCTTCAGATATGCCACAGCATGAGCTCAAATCAATCACCTCCAAACTGGGGCAAACAGAAGCAATCGTTTCAACACTTTCATCCCTCAACCAGGAATTGCTTCTCAAGTAGAGAGACTTCACTTGACGATTCACAAAACCATTCACGAAATCAACATCAACCCCCTTCTTCCCAACATCTGTTGCCTCCATTTTGATCTCATTCAACAAAGGACACTTCCTAACGAGTGCAAACAAAGCTAAATCAGTTAACATCCTACAACCACTGACATTCATGGACACCAAATTCCCAAGAAACTCACACAACTCTTCCACACGCTGATCGCACAGAAAGTCGGCGTTTTGAAGGTCCAAATGCTCCACAGACTGACATGTGGACAACAAGCACAACACTCCAACGTAACTATAGTTACAACAACCTTGTAAAACAAGCTTCTTCAAAGGAATCCCTTCCTCCGCAACACAACATAGCAACTCATCGGAGATAGAAGAACACGACAAATCGAGACAAGTCAAGCCCTTCAATCCCACCAACGCATTGATGAAATTAGAAGTCGCATAGGGTCTGCCAGTGTCACCCTTCTTTGTTCCACACCCGAAATTACTAACGCAGAACGAACGCAAGCACGGTCTTTCACGAATCGCGGAAGCGATGCCACGTTGCGTGATGAAGTGGCACTCGAAGATTATTATTTCCTCAAGAAGCTCGCAGTTTTTGCAGAGACTGAGAAGGGAAGGGTCGTTGATGAAGAAATTGCCAGAGAGGTTAACGCTACGGAGCTTAGTTAGGGCCAAAGAGAGAGCCTTTACGCCTAAATCGGAAACTGGGTCACCGGAATTGTCGGTATTTTCGGGGAAACTGAGGTCGAGATGTTCGAGGAAAGGGAAACAGTCGGCGATTAGAAGGAGATCGGCGTTTTGGAGAGAACCCAAGTGGGAGCAAGTGAGGGATTTCAAAGTTGTGATCTTTCTGGCGAACGCACGCAACCCATTTGAGGGGAGGGAAGGGTGGCCGGAGAGGTTGAGCGAAAGGAGTGGTGGGGCGGCGCCTGAGAGTTGGAGGAGGAGCGCGTGGAGGTGGGAATGATGGAGGCGCGTAAGGTCAAGAGCTGTGAGGGAGGGGAACCTGAGCAAGAGGCTGGGGAGAAAGGGGAGTGTTGGGTTGGATATGGTGAGGGAGGTTCGGAGGAGGTTGGTGATGGCGAGGAATTGGGTTGAGACAAGGGAGAGAGGTTCGAAGTGAAGGTTGGGTTTGAGGAATTTGAATACCAATTCCCAGCATTCACGAGGTAAGTGTAAATCTTCTTCTGACATTGTTTTCTGATTCTTTGCAGATCTAATTGTGTTCGTTTTATTTATTTAATAATTATGTATTTATGGGATTATCGTGTGATCGTGATTAGTGAGTGTGCGATGATGGTGGAGTCTGCAAATTTAAATTCAAATTTGAATAGAGAAAGAGGACGTGATCCAAATTTTCAGATCTAAAAACCCTAATTTTTATTTAAGTCATCTCTCCGCCTCACGCGGAGGAAGATGTCGTGGACAAATACGAAGGAATAATAAATCTTTATTTGAAACACACATCATGTTAGTGTTTATATATATATATATATATAATATTTTCTTTAAAACTTATAAAATTTGTTACTAAATTATTAAACTAATATTATGACTTAAAAGAAATTAAAAATGATTTAAGAAATAATTTATAATATTAAAAGTTAAATAAAGAATAACTATGCAAATTCAAAAAATTAAATAATCGATTTTTTTTTTACTTTTAGTATGATATATAATCTTTAATAAACTTTAATCAATGAAAAATGTCATACATAATCTTTTCGATCACTATTTGTAAAAGTATTAACTATCATTTGTTTTTTGTTGGTGACCAATTTCCACCAATAAATTCTTGGCTTTTTCTTAATGAAATTATTGGATTAATTCTAAAGTGAACCATAATTTTTATTAGATGGATCTTGATATTGTAGGTTTGAAAAACACTAAATCTCTCTTCTTTAAACTCAATCTTGATTTATTGTGTTGTTGTGCACCCCATAAAAATAAAACTATGAATCCTAAGAATCACCTCATTGTGACATTACACCATCATAATCAATAAAGCACATTCAACAAACCTAATATTATTTTTGGGTTTGCATTGGGAGATGGTGAGAATGTTACAGTAAGGTGTAGGGTGGATTATAATAAGTATATGAAAATGGTAAGGTGGTCCACACCAAAGTTATTGTGAATTTTATTATAATTCTTAAAGTTTTAAATTTCTTTTATTGTCTTTGAAATGGGTGAAATGGATGAGAATTAAAAAGAAGATAGTGGGAATGTATTGGGAAAAGAGACATGTAGTTGTGGAACGATGAAAATATTGATAAAAGTTATAGAAAATCGCACTATTCACATAGAAAAAATTGTTACCAAATTGAAAAGATATCACTCTCTATTGTTAATGTTTGCAAAAATAATATATTTAGAATATAAACTTTGTCTAACTATAATAACCAATTATATCAATATCAAATAACTGATTTTTCTTATTGATAATTAACTACAATAACATGTAATATAAAAATATTATAATAATTTTGGTTAAAAACTTATTTCTGTCATTCTTTTCAACTAATTTTCTTAACAAACAAAATTCTATCGTGCATTCATCCAATTTATTTCTTTTCATTTTAACTATTTTTTATGTTTTTTCTAAAAAAATTATAAGTTTATCTTTAATCATTTTTAACCTTTTTAAGAAAATTACTACATAATACTGTGTTTTTCACTGAAGTTAAAAGCCACGTAAGCTAATAGTAGAAATACAGTTAAACTGGAAAAGTGCAGTACAAACGAAACACGCTTGAAATGATTTTAAAGTCTTGGAATTTTAATTAAAGGCAGGAAGAAAAGTGTAAAATTTAAACAAACTGATTTTGAGTTTCGGCGTAAACAATGGAATCAGCTGCTTGGGGTCAGTTGCGACGGCGGCTCTTCAGGGTCAGGAACCGAATTCTGCGGTGGCTCCTCTGGCAAAACCGGTGGCTCTTCTGGCATAACCGGTGGCGCCAAGAGAACATTCGGCGGATCTTGCGGCAGATCTGGCGCTGGCATGGAAACATCCGGCGGTGACAGGGAAACAAACGGTGTGATGGGCACGTTAAAAGACGGTGGGTCCTGCGGCATTTCTGGTGTTTCTGGCAAGGTAATAGCCGGTGGTACCTCTGTGGCCAAGGGTGGCGGAAATAAAGCATTGGGTGTCTGCGGCATAGGGAAAAGCGGTGGAGTTGACAGAAACGGCGTGGGGAGTAGTGGCGGGGGAAAGGAAGTGTCCGGTAGAGTTGGATTGGTGAAAAGAGGTGGCGAAGATGAGAATGGGACAAGTGGGGGTGCTGGTTGTGGATCAAAGATGAAGGGGTTCGGAGGTGATAGCCATGGGAATGTTGGCATTTCAGACATCGGAGGCGGAATTACTAATGGCGGTAAGGGAGGGGCAGGTGGAGGTGGTGACGGCACTAACGGCGGCGCCGGCGGCAGAGGTGGAGGAGAGGGTGATGGTAGTGGACAGCAGGGTTGAACCGGCGGCGGCGAACACGCTGGTGGAGGTGGAGACGGTGGTGGTGGAGATGGTGGGGGCGGAGACGGTGGTGGTGGTGAGGGTGGGGGCGGAGACGGTGGGGGTGGTGAGGGTGGGGGTGGGGGTGGGGGTGGTGCGGAATAGTGCACTGGTGGAGGTGACAACGGTCGTGGGAAATATTGCGGGGGTCGTGGAAAATATTGCGGCGGTGGAGAGATTCTTGGTGTGTAAATTATTGGTGGAGGGATTCTTGGTGTGTAAGTTATAGGTGGAGGAAAAGAATACGATGGAGTTGGAGTTGGAGTTTGGTCAAAAGGGTTTTCAGGGGAAGAAAATGTAGGAAAGGGCCAATGGCCACATGTTCCATATAAGTATAAGTAAAATGGATCACAGTTTGATCCTCTTGATTTTCTTCCTCCACTGTGTCTGTTTCTTCTGTTTGTTCTAGACCATTTTAACTCGGCTTCATGATTGTGGCCTTGGGGAGGAGTGGTTCTGGTTTCAGCAGTAAGAGAGAGTGTGAGCAAAACAAGTGCAAATACAATTCTCATTTCTGGTGTTTTTGGATTGTTTGTAGCAGTGTGTAGTTGTCACTGTGAGAGACTACTGCATGATGTTTATTCTCTATATAGAGTCACACACATGCAAGTTCAATGATTGTTGGTTTAGTGTATGTGTATGAATGTGCTGGAAAATTTAAATGTAGAGTGCAGATTTAGAGGAGAAGTAAATACTAAAGATAAGAAGATGAGGTAGGTAGAGTTAGGTATTTTAATGGGGTCTGCTACCATCATCAACCATGCACTCTCTCTAAGTGACACACACACAAATCAAATTAGTAAAATTAAGGTGAACCTTCCTTCTTACTTTATTATACATGGAAGACTTGCAGGAGCAACAACAAATTAAAATGGTGAATAAATGGAAGTAATTGAGTTCCCTAGGTCTACGTGCCAACTTCATTTCTTCTGTGTTTGTAAGTGGTGGTCCAGACAACGGAGTTGAGTGATGTGAATTCAGTGTTCCAAGCATTTGCATGCATCCAAACTTTTCTTTTCTTAAAAAAAAAAAAAAACACTGACATGGCACCTCTGCAAGGCGATGGTGGCAGTGGTTTGTATCTGAGTTTGCCAATATGGTGACCAGATTAAGCTGAGAGTGAAATGGGTTCATGAAACAGAGAAGCAAGTCTCAAGTTTCTCTGCTATGACATTAGATAGGACTCGAGCATTTTTCTTGAAAATGGAAAATATTATGTATTTGGAGCTTCATGTTAACTAACTCGGTTTGTTTGTTAAGTTGGTACTTTGTCGCCATAAGAAATTAGGATTTAAAATCGGGTATGAACTTATGGAGGTCAAGTACATAGAATTTCTTGCACTTGTTTTAGGTTAACTACTAATAATTTTTTAAGAACAATCAATTACATTTATCTTTGTTATGTTTTGAGTTTTAAAAACTCGTTTTAAATTAGATAATATTACGTGGGTTGTGGTGGATAGTTTTCCGATGTCGCAACATACTGATTTTTATCAAAGAGGTTAAAAAATTGTTGATTTTATGGGATTGAAAATTTTTAATTTTATCAAATGGGTTAAATAGTGTAAGACAGGGCGAGTTGGTTCTAAAGAAATACTTGAAAGCATAATTTTTTACTATAATACTAAAATCATGTTATGGTAATTTATTTTTTTATAAAAATATTCTTGATAGTACGAGTTGTAAATAATTTGTATTTCATATTGAAAAATAGTTTTTTATTTATTTTTAAATATATTATTTATTAAATAATTAATTTTGATTTAATTGTCAATTTAATAAAAAGTATTTACAGAAACATAGCTAAATTTAATTCAGTATATTTATATTATAAAAATTACATTATTTAAAAAAATACAAATTTTTGCACGATTATGTTGTTCATTTTAATAAGAGGAATATTTTTTTTTCAACTTCTTCATTCATTTTATTTTGAATTCAATTAGTTGTAGTATTATGTATCTAGAAGCATGTTTGGATTAGGACAAAAAGTTAGACCGTATAAATAAACCAATAATCTTCATTTTGAATAGGATAAAATTGAAATTCATATGTCTTATGAATGTTTTGTAACTTGTAAATAAGATCAATAAATACATTAAGTTGTAAATGGCAAGAAAAGTTGACAACTATAACATGAGAATAAGGGAGTCGAAGAACTCAGAATTCTCCACAATTACACTACCATTAATTTAATCGAATTGTGTAGTTTATTGATCTTCGACGATGGTGGGGATTGGATTAATCTTGTAAGTTAAACTCAAAATAATTTCGATTGTACCTTTATACATGACACATTCGAGCACATTGTTCATTTTTGTTAAACAGTGTAGTAATATGTTTTAGATACCCGTGTCCAGCTCGTAACATGTACTCTATTGTCATGTCTCTTTCCATAAATCAAGATTTAGTTCTTTCAAAAATTGTTTTTACTATGACAGATATAGGTAAAGTTCATGCTCCTTTGAGAACATAATACATGGACTCAACAAGATTTGTTGTCATATGTCCATATCGCTTCCTTCCATCATAAGCTTGAGTCCATTTCTCTAATGAAATCTCATTTAACCATGATATTTGTTGTTCAAAGTCAGACCTTAAAGTAAATAGTTTTGCTAAAAATTTGAGTTATTTAATCTTATATCCTGCACAAAAAAATGTAATTTCAGACATATTTTATTTAGAGAAACGAATTTGTGTATGTTATAAGATGTTACCTATATTGATTACTTGTCTTTTCAAATCAATATTTTTGAACTTTTTGTTGAAATTAAGGCAATATAACGAATATAGAACACTAAAGTGAGATAATTCCAATCAAGATCTTCTTATTATAAAACCGACAATATTCTTTTACCTTTGTCTGTTATCATGTATATTATTTTAAGGCGTAATGTAATATCTTAGAAGTTGTAAGAACTCTATCAATGTTGTTTTCCTTTACCTTCCACAATTGCAAATGCAAGTAGAAATGTTTTTATTGTCATTATGTGAAGTTGCAATAAATAACTTATCATGATATTTTCCTATTAGGAATGTACCATCATTTTCAATAATTGGCTTGTAATATTTAAAGTCTTCTACACATGACTAAAATGACCTGAATATACACTCTAATAAATGATGGACTATGGACACCATGCATTGAATGAGGAGAACAAACATATTGAACAATATTGTACCAGGATTACTATCTTCAACAACTTGCAACCACCTTGGAAGATCATTGTACGAGTTGTCCTAGTCTCCAAATGCCACATCAAATACCTTTTGTTTTGCTACCTATGTTTTTTTATAAGTCATTGTATAATCATGTCTATCTTTGACTTCTACAATCAAAGTTTTAATAAAAATGAAGGAATATGTTTTAACTAATTCAAAAATAATGTTAGTAATGATGGAAAAGTCTAAATTTTGATGATTCGGATTTAACATTGTACTTAAACATGTATGTGGTACTTCAATTTTTTTAATCTCCTATTGAGTACGAATTTTACTGAATGAAACACGAATTCTCCATTGACACTCATTGTCATAATATATACAATGAACAATATATTTGTTAGCTTTAGATTCAATAACAGAAAACTTGTATCCCTCATTAATATGAAATTGTTTCATTGTACTTACTGTTGCCTATTTTGACGGAAAACATCGACCTTCCTAAATATTGTTTTTGCCTATATGGGTTAATTGGCCAAATGATTGTTCAACACGTAGCAGGACATCATCATCAAATACATTGCAGTAGAGGAAAAATTATTTTTTTCTTTATCAATAAAATCTTCAACAATATCTTGAATAATAAATTCGTCAACTGCCATGGACGAACTATCAATTTGAAATTTGTTCATCTAATTAAAAAAATTACTAATCATAAAATATACTTAAATAAAAAATTTAAATTAAATCAACTAAATCTACCTTTAAAAATTTAACTTCAATAAACTAGTATAGAAGTTGTAATTGTATGATTGAATTGAAACAACGAAGCCACTTATATAGTCCTCTCTAATTACTAGTGTAGTATACTATTCACATCTAAAACTATTCATAAGTACCTCTGCTAAATTATTAGACCACTATGAAGGATTCCACTAACTATAACATGCAATAAACTCATGGGAAATGAAGGATTGATAAAGAATCGTAAAAATTGGATTTTTTGAGGAAAATATTACCCCTTCCAATTATATTAATTATTGATTACAAGTTCTACAATTAGATTAAGAGAACTACCACTGGCGGTTATCTTAGAGTTGAAGACCGATACTCCAACCACTAAGCTACTAAGATTTTTTAATAATAATTTACAAATAAATTATATTTATATACAAATAAATGTATATCCGTATAAATATATAAATATAAATATATTTATATAATTATATATTTATATGTTGGATGTGAGGGCATGTTTAACGGTGAAAGTGTGTGTCGTGTTTATTAAAATATATTTAAAACTAAGTAATTATTATATAATTTTAAATATTTATTTTTTTTAATTTAATGTTGATTTTTAAAAATATATTTTAAATTCATCGGTAAATGAACAAATAATTACCGACGGATATATCCATCGGTAACTAATTGTTTATTTACCAAAATTATTAATTTACCGATGGATATATCCGTTGGTAATTATTTGTTTATTTACCGACAAATTTATTAACGGATATATCTGTCGATAATTAATTGTTCATTTATTGATGGATATATCCAGTCGGTAATAATTTTTTTCGACGATTACATATCTCTCAGTAAATATCCATTGATAATATAATAAAAAAAAATTTAGTGTTAGAAGGCAAAAGCATTGAACTCGTTTTCTCAAACATGAGTTCTGACTGACAAAGTTGAAGTTGTACATCATACCTTGATTCTAAAGCCAAAACCATGCATGGGTGTCATGGTTTCATGTAGAAATTGACCCAACTAGCACGAGTTCAGTGCAAGCCCGAAAAATGTGGCATGTTGCACGAGTTCAGGTGGGACAAAGACAAACTCGTGCCACCTTGGATGTGTTCAAAAGCAAAATCGGTCAAGCTTGCACGATTTTAGTGTCACTGGTATAATGCATATGCAATGGAGCGTGAAGTCATGCATTACAGTTTCAATTTCGGTGTTTAAGAATATGACCTAGAGCGTGGTTGAACATTTAATTAGGTATTGATTATGTTTTTTATTTTTTCATCAAAACATGAAAATATTACTTTATTATCCTTTATTTAAATTAACTATTAATATATTTTTATTATTTTTTAAGAGAGAAAATAAAAATATATTAAATTATTATTTTGATTTAGAGATATTATTAATATTTGATATTTTATCATATTTTTATTCTCTATATAGATAGAGTACATAAATAAAATATATATTCATATAAAATATATTTCATATATCAGAAATATACATATACAAAATCCTTAAAAATTTCCATCAACAGGTAGATAGCTTGTTTTACCTATTAATACGGGTTCTCCTTACACTTATAATCACTTTCATTTTC